AGCCGGGGCACACCGAGACAAACACCACAACTGGGAACACAACGCAAATCAACACCCGGGCCGCTGCCGATCGCTGCCAACGCTAACGCACCACCTTCTTCTAACAGCACATCGTTTAGCTAAGAGGTAAACAAGCACACGTGTGGACACCAAAGGGGAACGGGGTGCCACCAGTCACAAGAAGCGCTCAAAGGGACAGACTGTTTCACAGATTAACGCATTTAGGAGGACCCAGCTACTGCCGCAGCCGCCGCCACCCACCTTCGGACAGTGAGTCTTCGAGCTATTCTATGGCTGGGAATCATTTGCCGCCATGGTTCTGGAAGAATCCACATGACAAGTAACCCAAAGTCACCAAGGACAACTTGCGCGTGAGTGAGAAATGGTGTGAAAGACATGATGGAGAACAGGGACGGGGGAAAGGTGGGCTGGTCACAGGGCAAGCACTTGAGACAAAGACGGACAGCTGGAGGGCAGCACTGGGAGCCACAAATGAGGGGGTGGGCCTCCATGGGGACTGCCACTTGTGCCCACCCACTCTGCTGAAATCACGCGCCCAGTCGTGTAGCAGAGTACAAAGATGCTCAGTGTGTATGCATCAGTTTCCAGAGCGTGGCCTCAACAGCAGGAGGCGGAAGGGAAGGTGCCTTTCCTGCAGACTGAGCCCAAGCAACGGGGCCCCCTCACCATCTGATTCCAAAGCTTCCCTACGTGGGGAGCCCTGGCCCTTGGTCTTATCCACAGGCTCGTGGATCAGGAAAGGACCGTCGGCACCACTCGTGGTCTTGGGGAGATGGCCCCAACACAAGTATGTTTTGTGAAGGGCAGAAAGGGTCGAAACACCTGAATGCATCCTCTGCCTTCAAAATCCTTTCCAAGCTGGCCCTAGCAATATCTAAAATCTGTTTGGATGTTTTCTGGCTTTCACTTCGGGAACCTATTTCAAATCAGTAAAAATGCTCCAGTGTAAGATTTCCATCCTACAGGGTTTCATTCTAGGGTCAGGTTTTGTGCCCTACATGCAAAGTTTGGGTCATTTTCCCAGCATTTTCTCAAACCCTGGCAGACTTTAGACAGCAGCCAGATAGGGAGATAGATGTCAACAGGCTGCCCCCATGCCCCAGCCCTAGAAGGAAATGTGTTCCCACAAAATGCCCAACTGACTGGCATCTCTCAGAAATTGTCTATTGGACCTAGAATCACAGACCAGAAAGGTTACCGAGTCCAGTCTCCTTGCCAACACATCCCCAAGTGATCCCTCAACGTGAAAGGAAACAGATCATGTTACAGTCAACTCACCACCAGCTGTGATCACTAGGAAATGCTTCCCTCTAAGGTGGGGCGCAAACGCCTTCCCTGGAATATCTACCATGTGGTACCAATTCTCCCTTCTGGGAGGGAGTCTGCAGGACAAATCTGTTCCCTCGTTTAACATTTAAAGATAGCAATCATATCCAATATGTAAATGTTTCCATTTTCTTCCTTCCGAATGAGTGGGAGGCCTACAGCAAACCTGGAGGGATACCGAGCCCATTCCTTACCTCGCAAGCCAGTTTCTCATACTGAAGGAAACACAGGCCCAGGGAGGCCATCCCTTTGCTTGTTGGGATATAGAAGGGGCCTGTTTCATGAGATCCAAAAGAATGGATAAGAATTGGCACGAGATGAGATGAATTAGGGGTGCAGCAGGGGGAACATTCTCACGGATGGAATTTTATCTCAATAGCGCTTGGTGACTAAGTTCTTGTCATAATGAGAACTTTCTACAGCTCTCAGAAATGAGGAAGAAACTTTGCAATCCTCCAACTGATGGTGCTCTTTTGGAGAAAAGTTCATTATTAATAGGTTGGGTATATCAAACCTAAGAGCCACCCATTAATTTCACCCCAAATTCCATTCCCTTTCCTTAAACTAGTACCAAGGGAACATGTGAAACATCTAATTACCGTTTTACACAGTAAATTTCTGAGGTGAAATTCAATGTTATGTCAGTCAAGAGAATTGGCCCAGAAGGCCAAAAAGATTCTATTTTTACACAGTCTCTTAACAGAGCAAAGGAAGTAGGTGGGTATTATAGCTGGTTGGAGAGGACTGGAGTCTGGCTAGACAAGAGAAAAGTGCTTAGAATAAATTTCCTGCTTTTGAAGGCAGTTTATAGGAATCCTGACACTGGGGACCATGGAGATCACACACAATGTGTCCACAGTCTTCATAGGAGTGGGGAGATGAAATGTAATAGAAGACAATGTTAAACCCACTTTTCTATAACAATGTAATGCTGATGACAGTAATGGGACCTCAATCTTTGTTTCTTCTTTTAGGCACTTTCTTCCATGTTCCAAAGCAGGAGATCTTTTCCTCGGATATCCTAGAGTCAGAGCTGCTGACACTAAGCCTATTTATTTGTGGTTCCTGCACGAGGTCTCTCGATCCAAGAAAACTCCCCAGAGTGATTATTCTATTTCACTTGCTTGAAAGGCTAACTACCTGGGAATGCTCAACTCGAAGACAATGTGGTTGGCTTGCTATGACATGCGCTGACCCTCTGGCTCTGCTGCCACTGAGCCCCTGGGAGGGGCTAAGAGGAGGGAGGAGAGGGTAAGCAGAGTTGGGAAGGTGAGCGGGGCCAAAGGAGAAGGCAGAAGGGGGGAAGGAGAAGCATTCATGCCAGGAAAGCAGCTCCATCGGGGCCAGGCCCCAGGCAGCACAACAGTTTTGCATTTTCTGCCGTTCTTTTCTACTTGACTTAGAAGACAAATTGATGCACGTTTGAGAAAGAGCATAGCAATGACCTCCAGATGGCTAGTTTTTCTTCAAAGAGGAGGGAAATTCACTTGACTCTGAAATTTAACATGCAACTTGTAATGATTTGGAGGGCCTTTCCCCTTGCTTTAAATGGACATTTCGAATGCATTAGACTTGTCCTAACCTTCAAATACAATGGTGACCAGGCCTTTAGATCTGAATCCAAGGGTGGTCTGCTGCAGAAAAATCCCAGGGCCAACTTGCCCTCACACAGGAATCTCATCTACCCCATCACCCCCAAAGTCCTTTCCCGCTCCTCCGTTCTGCAGACTCCAACCATCACTGGGCAACAGCTAGTCCGAGGGTCTTCCTCCGAAGGTTCTCCTTCCCTCTTCTCCCCACTTCAGATGCCTAAGGCTGGCCACCTTTCCTTCTTCTAAGGATCGAGTCTGAACCCAGCACCCCCAGGAATTCTGTTCGCACAGGGAAAACCACAAACGTTGACAGACTAGAGGTCGGCTTTCTTCTGGAATCCCTTCCCACTGACACCACGATAACCAACCTTGTTGCTTCACTGAGGTCCACAACTGTGTTTAAGGTAGAGAACTATACCCATACAGGGAGGGCAGGTAATGGGCACTTCTCACAGTAAGGGAAAATTACTAGGCATGAAAGCATTCCCCTCATTTGCTGAACATTTGCATCAGAAGGCTGAAAGTGAAGGTCAAACTTGTCCTCCTGTGGCCACTGGGACTTGAAGGCGTCACTGACCCTTCAGGGGAAGCTGCCCTGGTGCTCCCTGCTGCTGACACACCTGAGGGTCCCAAGTGCCCGGCCAGGCCTAGATGCCCACGCTAGCTGGCAGTGGGCTCAAACCAAAAAGAAACAGGACTGTGAGACACCATAGGCTACCCTACATGACTTTTGGGGGAATCAGCTACCAGGGTCCTAAAAACGAAAGGCTCAAAGTTTGCTTTGGACAGCTTCTCTAGCCTTCTCATTCAAGGCTGGCCACTCCTGCTTCAAGGTCTATGAAAGGATGGACCCCAGGGTGTGATGAGCCACGGACAAACACAAGGCAAGGAAGGGACAACCACCTCTACAGCAAGGGCCACAGGGCCTCCTGTCTCCCCACCTCCAGACCCTGACCCACGGACTGAAAAGCTGAGCCTCGGAGCCCAGCCAATATCGTCTCAGACCAGTGACATCTCTACCGAGTGAATCTCTGAAACACATCCACAAGGGCTGGGGGTGTCCACACCTTTGATTAAGAAAATGTGGGGCACATTCCAAACCAACCAAACAAAGGAACTGAGATGAACCTCCAACTTTGAGGCAAAAAACGGGGAGGGAAACCTGCCCTGCCTCATGTGCTGGTCCAAAGTCGGAGGTTCACCTCAGTTCCTTCGTTAGGTTGGTGTGGAATGTGCTTTCCAACACCACTTGCCACCATTTCATTTATTCTGTGACTCCTAGTTAACAAAGTGAAGGATTCCTCCCCTCCCTGTTAACGCAGATGACCTTCTGGCTACTTCGTTTTGGCAAGGGGGCCTCTGCTTCTCAAAACCCTGGCACACCTCGGACCCTGTCTCCCTGGAGGCGTTTCATTCTGCTGCTAGACAGCCCCCTCCCTGGGTCAAATTCAGCAGAGATCCACTGGCACTTTGACCTTGGGGGGGAGGGTCACCTGCTTCTCACCCCCCCTTGGGAGGCTGTGAACTTGCCCTGGCTGTTTGGGTACCCTTCCCTTGGAAAACGGGCCAGACTGAAAAGAAAGCGCTCATTGTGTTTTTGACAGAAAAGCATTCTATGCCAAGCACAAACATAAAAACACAAACCAGAAGAATCGGACCAAACCCTTCTGGGTGAGTAATAGGTCTGCCTTGCGCTGCTGAGGATTTGAGTCGTTGGACTGTGCAAAATATTCTCAAGAAGGTCCTGGCTCATTTTCAAATATTGTTTCCCCCCCACCCCCAAAAAAATAAATAGCTGATTATGCCTCTCTAAAACGCACGGTCCATGGGCACGGGCTTCGTGTGGTTCGTATGCAATGGCCCAGCCCGAGCAGGGATGCCTGGAGTTTCGACGCTGACGACACCACCGCCCGCAGTGCCCCCCAGGCTAGACCCTGGCCGGGCGGGGAGGGTGACCCCGCCTGAGCCCCGAGAAGAGGCCGCCCCGGGGGCAGATGGGAGCAGCGGAGCCGGGAGCAGAGTCATCGCTAGAGCGAGGCTTTAGAAAAGACAAACGGCTGGTTTCTGGGCTGTCAGGATTTTTATGGGGTGTCTTGGTTTTGGGAAACAATCACATGTAATCCAGTCTCAGGTCTAAGTCCCATGTGGCGTCGGCCCGGGCCCTCCTAGGTCTTCTGCTCCGCCGTCGTGGCCGTCTGGGCGGGGGCGTCCGGCTTCATGATCTGGTAGGTGATGAGATACTCCGGGTAGGCCTACGGAGAAGGACAGATGCATCAAGGCCATGGCCGGCACCACAGTGAGGGTGCCCCTCGGAGGAGGAGTGCTTGTGTCCCCGCTACGGCTGTCTGAGGCTTGTCACAAGCCTCGTGAACACATGCGCACAAACCAGTATGGAGAGGGCGACATATTCTTAGCTAAGCAGTAAGTTAAAACAGGATTTCTATTTGGATCCTCATAATTAATTAAGCCTCACCCTCCTTTTCTTGGTTTGTACTCACCTGTTGTCGCTAAGCCATATGCTCTGGACTGGACATAATGAAAGAACAGAGGGCAGCTACAGAGCTGGGGGAGGGGGGGAGGTTTCCCTTGAACCAACCACCCAAGGATGGCAGCCACTCTGGTATCTCCTCCAGGAAGGCTGACACCTCCGACTTCAGTCTCCTGCCCCCAAAGCCCTCCTACAAGCTTTTCCTGTTTATTTTATTTTTTTAAAGCACAAATTCCTCTTACCCCAGTTCCAGATTCTCTGCCCCCCCGCCCCATGAAGACAAAAAACCCCAAACCTATTACAAATGTGGACACTCATACACAACAAAGGAGAAGCTGTTTCACTCCGGCCCCCCGAGTCCATCCGCTCGCTCTCCGGAGGTGGGCAGCATGTTTTATCCCGGAGTCCTTCGACTGCCAGCCTCACCGTCCTGAGCTGGGCAGCCAAGTCTTTCACAGCCGTCACCGTGCATGACGTTCTCCTGGTTGTGCTCGCTTCTCTTTTATGTCAGTGCACACAAGTCTTCCAGGCTTTTCTGGGAGCACCCCCCTCACCACTTCTTACGAGCCAGTAGTATTCCATCACGTTCACGTGCCACAACTCGTGCGGCCCTTCCCCAGCCGATGGGCTTCTTCTCAGTTTCCAATAATTTGCCACCACAAGAAGAGCTGCCATAAACGTTTCTGTCCACATGGGTCCATTTTCTCTTTCTCTGCCCTCTCTGGGGTGCAGCTCTAGCAGGTATTGTTGGGCCAAAGGGAACGTGAGGTACATCTCGAGAAGGAATCGTCTGCCCTTGCTCCCTAACCAGCCACTCATGCCTTGGCCTCCCACAATCTAATATGGTTTCTGTCTCTGCTTTCCCCATTGCCAATGACCTCTTACTTGCCAAGTCCAAAAGCTTTTCCGTCCTGTCCTCACCTTCTTTCTACTGCTCCTTTCTTGGCCTCCCTGACAGGCCACTTTTATGTTTCAGCCTCTACCTCTTGGGGAGGTCATTCTTCGCTGACTTGGCTGTTTTTGTTTTCTTTTTATTTCCCACCCCTCAGTTTGAGAATAGCCCCGAGGCCCTATTTTCTTTACCCTTTGTCTGTCCCCATGGTTTCAATGATCATCTCTCCTTCCTATCATGCACTAAGGTTTGCAGTGGTTTCCCAGATCTAGGCTTCTAGGCTTCATCTCTCTTCTAAGGGCTGATGCCACCCCTCCAGCAGCCCGCTGGGCACTTCGACCTCAATGCTGCACTGGCACATTCAACCTAAGATGCTAAGAAACTGCCCTTCTCTCCCCACTTCCCCATGTTGATTGGTAGCGTAACCCCTCCCTCTTGCCCCCAACAGGTGCTCAGGCTTCAAAGTCTCTAGCTGTTCTCCCAACAGAAAGCGATTCTCCCTAGATACCGTACCATTGTCCACCATGCGATGTGCTGCCACCCACGCCCAGCCTTCAAAGTCTAGTCCAGATGCGGCCTCACTCCTACGGCTTTGCCAGAGTGCCCTCGGGAGGAGACCTCCTTTTCGGCCGTGCTGCCCTGCAGCATAGGCACCTATCCCCTTCATCCACAGACTCACTTTACTAGGTGGCAGTAAGCTCCCTGAGGGCAGGGCCTTTGTCACCACTCTTCTGGTCTCTCTCGGTGCCTTCCACAGAATTCTGAGGCAGTAGGTCAAGGCAGGCACACTTCGTAAATCTCTGGTGAATGAGAGAATCTTTCAAGACCAGCAGAATCTGCACAAGTCACTCCCGCGGAAAGCTGGGGTGGGTCGAGCTACACCGAACCATTGAAATGTCACCCCACTCTTTGGGAACTCACTTCACTGCTGAGTCCTCGTCAGCAGGAACCTCCCGGGAGCTCCCCTAAACCCTTCTGTCGCAGTCCGGCCCAGCTCCTCTGGCTGTCCTCAGCAGACCCTTCCTGAAGAGGGGAGGGTCCTGACCTGCTCACCAGGTTCCAGACTCCAGCACGGTCTTTGGCCTGAATCAGCTTCTTCCTTTGGCTGACTTTGATCAGAAGCTTCTCATGTTGTGGGTTGTGATTCTTCAAGGCATTTCCAACATAAAGTCAGACTCACTTTGCCTTTCCAACAGAGCTGGATGGATGGATGGATGGATGGATGGATGGATGGATGGATGTTCAGCAAATCTCAAGCCCTGCTCTGGCTCCTGCTGACCCATCCTCAGCTTTGCTCCAGCCTCCACTTCTCAACTCCAGCCCTTGGGCTGCCATGCCAACACCCCAAAATGCTAGTGACCTCCAAGTGCCCTTCAGCACTCTCCTCTCCATGGTCCTGCCTCATTATGTCAGGCAGCCTGGGGTAGTGGGAAGGGAGCTGGCCTTGGGGGTCACCAAGTCCTGGGTTCCAGTCCTGCCTCTGTGACCCCGGGCTGCCAAGACACTGCCTTTCTCCAGGGAGCTGACTTTTACCATGTCTTGGATCCCTGTGGCAGTATGGTGAAGCCTGGGGGGCCCTTCTCTGGAGAATGCTTTGAAGGGCACATAATTGAACACGTAAGATTACAGGGAAACCAAGGCCAAAGAAATACTGCCAGGTAGTCAGTTCCCCATGCCAACCGCCTCCTCAGCCCAGGCCTGTGGGAAGGCCGGTCCATCTGCTGGGGTCCGCCCTGCACCCCACATACCTGTTCTCCTCTGTAGATCACATACTCTGCGTATGCGAGACCATTGACACTAGGTCTGCCAATAACAGAGTGATGGCCGGGGGGCGCGTGGGCCATTTTCATGGTGCTGAACTGGAGAAAGGATTTCCCAAGAGTCACTCGACAGAAAAGCATTTGCCTGTAGAGAAAGGAGCGTGACATGGTTTTGTCATTTATTTTTATCATGGAGGCAGATGGTGGCATGATGGATGGAGCACTGGGCTTGGAATCAAGAAGACCTAGTTCAAATCTGGTCTCAGATGCTTCCCAGCTACGTGGCCCTGGGCGAGCCACCACCTCTGCTTGCCTCAGTTTGCTCACCTGCCCAATGGGCTAATAACACCAACCTCACAGAATCCAATGAGATCATATATATAACAAGTCCTTGGCAGATTAGCAGCCTCCCTTCCCCCAAGACCCTCCATCTCCCGCCTCAGAGGCATTTTCTCTGGCTGTCCTCCATGCTTAGAACTCTCTCCCTCCTGGCTTCTCTGGCTTCCTCCAAGTGTGCCCTTAGATGTCAGGGCCTCCCCTCTCTTGGTCGTCTCCAGTTGATCCTGTCTCTATCTTGTCTGCTGACGTGCCGTCTGCTCTTCTGCTTTTCTCCGTACTTTCGGCGTTGGTACACATTAGCTGACTGAATGATTTTATAGACACTGTCTCATCTGTGTTTCCACAGCCCTAGGAGGCAGGTATTAAAGGGATAATTATCCCCATGCTACGGATGAGGAAGCTGAGGCCCCAGGACGTTAGGTGAGTTGCCCAGGGTTAGACAGTGTCAGGCCTGGGATATGGACCCAGGTCTCTGCTGACTCCATGTCCCGTGCTTCCCCCCCAGTTCACGACATCTCCTCTGAAGAAGACGCCCCACCTCCCCTTCCTGGTTCAGTACCTGCCTGGGTGGCTGCAGACCTTTTCCGAAAACCACTGACTCTTAGGAATCAATGCAACCAGATACTCACCTGTGACAGATGTAACAGGACCTGTCTTTGTGTGTGGGACAACCAGTACCACCTCCAATTCCATAAACATACTGGTTACTTTTAGAAGAATTCTCTGCAAAATAAATCCCAGCACCAAACATGCCCCCTATGTATGCATGTCTCTCATCGAATCCTTTGTGAATAATGGCGTTAATGAAAGGAGAGCCTAGGAGAGAGGGAGACAAAAGCAGCTTTTGTGAGCCCTGACTGATGACACAAGGTCTGAGCTGGGCAGTCTGATAGCTCCGTGCCTCAGTGAGTTACTACCACTGTGCAGCAGGCTGGCCTGGGAGGGTGTGGTCTCAGTGGACCAAGGACATTTTGGGCCTCATTTCACAAACCCTACAGCTCATCTCTTAGACACCTTAGAGTTCATCTTCCCAAATACAAATGGTCTGACTGTCCATCCTTCTGGTAGGCCAGTACATATCACTGCAACTCAGGTCACTTCCCCAAAGTGACTTTTCTTTTTCTGGAGCTCAATTTGTAATTTAAATGTTGCAAAATGCCCAACAGATAAGATACGGTGAAATGGAATTCATCGTCCTCTTTCATTTCTTAGTCCAGAACCAGAGTTTGTCAGTGTGCCTACTACCTTCCTATTGCAGACACAGTACTCGCTTGGTTTGTGACACCTCGTTTATTGTGCAGACCTCCTCTCATCAGCAATGGGTGCTGGCACTGAGAGGTAATTATCTTCTTGCTGGATTCCCAGAGGTAACACAAGGTGAAGTGACCACGTGTACCATTTAATTCTGTTTCCTGTAGGGAGAGGATGGAATCACCTCAAACAGCTACTTCACTGGCCTCCCAGAAATACAGATTCCTTAAAAGATACAACTCCTGACAAAAGTTTGCTCAACTACTGGTTGTTCAGGAACATCAAGTCTGGGGTTATACAAGTGGGAGAACCGAGTTTGGGAAAGGTGTAGCCAACTGTCACGGAGGATGTCCTATGGAAACTCAGACTCTAAGAAGAAATAAGAGCTTCCCTGACAAAACCCCCACACAGATCTAGAAAATGCACCAGACCCAAATCTTGACTGGGAAATCTAAGAAAAAAAAAATCACAGCGAGCCATTTCTCTGGTCCAGGGTAGCAAAGGAAGACGGACAGGGAGGTCTGTGGACAATGAGGACAAGGCCCAGGCAGAAGTATACCATACAGATGATTCTAGTGCAGGGAGAGGCTGTGTATCGGAGCACGGAGAGGGCCCAGATCTGCCACAGAGGATCTAAACTTGTACAGGGTTAGGGTGCAGGAGCAGATGTGCACTCCAACTGGCAGCTCTGTTTTTCATTACCCGGGCTCCAGATCCCAGAACCAAGGCGGACCGAGGAGGGCGTCTTTGCCGATTGGCATTCCAGGCTGTGTCCTGAGCAAGCCCAGAAGCAAACAGCAGCTGCGTGACCCCAGGAATGGGGCAGAGACTCAGCTCCAACTTCGAGCCCAGTCTGAAGCTGCAGTTCTGTCATTCCGGCTGACTGGAACTCCAAACAGGGCAAGTCCACAAACCTGCTCCCAAACCCAGCTTGGGAAAGGTTGCTGAGTTCAAGACCAGTGGGACAGTGATCAGATCACCTTGGGAGCGCTGAAAGCTTACAGGTGTGCAGGCTGAGCTCTTGTCCCGAGCCCAGCCATTCCTCTCCAGAAGTATGCAGAATGAAGGCCTGACACAAAGTCTGAAATCAGAAAGCAGGCTGGAAGAAGGGGCGGCAGGGGACAAAACAAAGCGCTGTGAACAGCTATGACGGTGGCAAGGACTGAAGCCCAGAGGAAGAGGACGACTGCAAGACATCTCAAACAGCTGCCTCACAAGATTCTCCCTAGAGGAGGTGAAGTGCCAAGTGAAAAAAGAGAGACAGAACAGCGTGTATAACGAAATAAGAGCACGAGGGGAAAAGAATGCTGAAGAAATGAGGATTAAGGACTGGAAAGAGATTCAACAGCGTAACGCATGATACACGAAACTCTGCTCGAGGAATAAATTCCCTGAAAATTAGAACAGACCAGACAGATGCTAATGACAATGAGACAAGAAATACTAAAGCAAAGTCAAAACACTGAGGAAAACAGAAGAAAAGGTAAGGTATCTCACGTAGCAAAAAACAACTGATGTGGAAAACAGATTGAGCAGAATTTTTTTTTTTTAAGGCAACTGGGGTTAAGTGACTTGCTCAGGGTCACACAGCTAGTAAGCATCAAGTATCTGGTCCGAGGACAGATTTGAACTCAGGTCCTCCTGACTCCAGGGCTGGTACTCTATCCACTGTGCCACCTAGCTGCCCTGAGTAGAAATATTTTTTAAAAATCAACCCATCAATCAATATTTACTGAGTGTCTACTACGTGCCAGGCACTGTGCTAAGTGCTAGGGATAGAAAAAGAGGTAAGAAACTGTCCCTGACCTTAAGGAGCTTATAACCACTGGACTACCTGAAAGACATGACCAAAAAAACAGTCAAGACACATCATATTTCAAGAAACGATCAAAGAAAACTGCCCAGATCTCTTATAATCAGAAAGACAAAAGCAGAAATAGAAAGAATCCAATGGTTACCTGATGCAAAAAAATCCTAAAATTAAAGATTCCAGGTCAAAGGAAAAATACTGCTGAGCATCCAGAAAGAATTCAAGTACTGAGGAGCCAAGTTAGGGTCATACAGAATCTAGCAGCCACTAATTCAAAGAGTGGAGTGCTTGGAATTCAATTGTCCAGAAAGCAAAAGATCTAGCTTGTAACTTCATCAGCAAAACTGAATACATTCCCACAGGGGAAAAAAATCAATGTTCAGTGAAATAAGAACACTTCTAAGCATTCTTGATGAAAAGACCAGAGCCACAAAGAAACCGTACAGTGCAAACACAGCAGTCACAAGAAACACAGAAAAGTAAACGTGAACAATCCTAAGTGATTAAACAAGGACCAACGGCTTACATTTTAATATGGGTAGATGATACAGGAGTCTAATCAGACAGAAGGCCCAGGAGTGCTTCTGTTGTGCTGATAATTTTAAAAGAAGAATGGGAAGGGGGGGTGGGAGAAGAGGAATAAACTGGGGAGGGGTGGAAGGTGGCACAATTATCTCACTAACAGAAGTGTGCACAAAGAGGAAAGGATGGGAACGCGCATAGACTTGTGCCCAGAAATGCATTTACTCAACAGAGAAACAAGAGGGAGAAGGGAGAGGGGGGAGGTTAGGCTAAGGCAGTAAAGCAAACTCCTAAGTATGTACAAAAATATTTGGAGCTCTTTTTGCAGTGGCAAAGAATGAGAAATTGAGAGTGGATTCATCAGGTGGGGAAGGGCTGAACAGATGATGGTACCTGTGTGTAAAGTGTGTGCACAGATATACACACACAGACCTATGTACATGTGATGGAACACTACTGCACTGTAAGAAATGATAAAGGGGGCCAGTTTCAGATAAGCTTGTAGAAATCACACAGAGCGAAGTGAACAGAACTAGGAGAGCCTTCATACAAAGACAACAATATTGTAAAGTCAAACAACTTTGAAAGACTTAGGAACAGATCAGTATAATGACCAAGGGTGACTGCAAAGGACTCACGAGGAAACAAGTCCTCTTCATAAAGGACTCATGACTTACATCCATCCATCCATTTATTGTATGTATGTATGTGATATGTGTATGTATTTGGATACAGCCAACATATATTTTTCTTTCTTTCTCAAAGGGGTGTGGGGGGCTGGGTGGCAGGGAGAGAAGTTGGATTTTTGCTGATTGAAAAAAAAAATGTATTTTTTTTTAAGAAAAGAATCATTTTTTATAGAAAGTTCTCCAGACACTTCTGTTTGTGAATGACTTTGTGCTGATCACATCAAACTACAGACTGAAAGGCACTCAAAACAGATTAGGCCAACAAACATACAGGGCCTAGAAGATTACAGTCAGGAAATAAGGGGATGGTTTACTAAGGATGAATGGATCTGTGAATGTGTCTTATCTTGGGTAAGTACTACAGAAGGCCAAGGAGCTGAGCTTAGAAGAGCTCATGAGGAAAAAAGCTGGATGGAATGCATTTGGCAAACTGCCCAGGCCTTTTAACAATCCAAGCCGCTTTCTCGAACAAAAGACCCTCTTTTTAGCACCCATATTTTCACAGTTACACTACAGCATGGAATGCCACCATTTCTGAAGAAACTGAAAGGTGCTGGAGAGACCCTGAGGTAGGTAGTCCAAAGGCTGCAGCATGAAGTAGCAGGATGAAGATTTCATCAAGACACCATATGACCAGAGAAGCTGGCTGATGCTGTCATGTCAAAAAGAACGAGGGATCAAAGAGTGACACCACCTGTATTAGCCGGGGATACCGGGAGCTGGAGGAAAGCCCGCAGGATGCTGGCTAGGTTCTCTAGATAAGAATCAGGCTGAAGGTGATGAACAGGAGAGAGCCTCGGTCCAGGAGTCCGCGGTTCCATCTGAGTGGTCTGAGACCAGGCTCTCGGTGAAGTCTCAGCTCAGACACTTTGTAGCTGAGAGATCTTGGCAAATCCCTTAATCTCTTTAGGCCTCAGTTTCCTACTTAGCGCACTCTACGGCCGCTGAGGTTTCTTCTAGCTCTGACTCTAGAACATTATTTATGGGGTTTAGGAAGTCCCTGACAAAAATGTGAAAGTCATAAAAAAACCAACCCACACAAACCACGTATCAGTTTCTGTGTAGAAAATGAACAGAACTACAACGCACGGTACCTACTATGTACTGCTCTGTTTATTGAGATCAGGGCTTCTTAGCCCAGAGTTCTCCGAGCTTGTTTCTTAATGAACGGTCTTTCTTTGTGACCCTGCCTCTTTTCTCTTATGCATTTACAAACATGGTTTTGAGAACGGTCCGTCCACAGGCTTTACCAGACAGCCCAGCCACGGGATTCTTGGGACTCACACAGGTGCTGCTGGCATGGAGCTGGATTCCCTGCATGCACCACCAAGGAAACAGTGCTGGCGCCAGGGCCTTCCCCTGACCTCGCGCTGCCCTGTGTGGGCTCCGAGCACTGAGCTAGCAGGAACAACCACACAGCTCTCCCACTCCAAACCCCTTGCCCCTGGGAGTCTATCCAGCACACACGATGGAAAGGGTCCTCACCATGGAACAGCATGCGTTCATTGTGATGGTTGTGATTCTCTTCTGACACCTCCTTCTGTCTGTGACAGAATCGTTCCCGTAATTTCTTGTTCACAACCTTCTGAATCTGCAGCGGTGAGACAATATCAGGCATGGACTGTCAGTCAAGTATGTTTGCCAAATGACACTGTGAGACTGAGAAAGCGAAAGGACGAGCCTGACATTTTGCTACTTAGTGGAATTATTTTTGTTCCCACAAAGACATCTTTTTTTGTGAGGTAGCATGACCCAGTAAGTCTGGGTACAAATCCTACCACAGACACTGATGAGCTGTATGACCAATGGCAAGGCATAACTGCCCTGTATGTCTCAAGCAGCTCCCTCGTCCTCCCCTACCACAAAGCCATGGCTGCGCAGGTGATGAAATGCACACATCTGATCCTGCTCATGGCAGCTACTGCCTGCCCGGATCCCTCCCCAGGTCCTGCCCTCTGGCTTCCAGGGCCTCCTTCTGGAGGCCCCCTATGCCTCTGCCAAGTGGAGCTTTGACAGCTCCAGGAAGGAGGGGGAACCTGTCAAATGCCCTGCGGTGGCGGGTCCCTTGCCCTCTTGCACCGCTGGGCCAGGAAGCATTTCCTCCCTCTGCCTCCGCTGGGTCGTGGTGACAGCACACCCTCCTGGCTTCAGACTGTTACTGTAAGCGGCAGCAGACAGACAGACACAGACAGACAAGAGAGGTCCTCCCTGCACCCCCGAGCGCGCAAGCTGGGTGCAGTCGCTCTCCATGGTGCTAGGCTGGCCTGTGTTCAGCAGACACCTCAGGCTTCTCACAAGGCTTGTTTCCTGCTTGGAAGGACCCACGAGAAGCACAGCCACCCCCCTGACCAGACAGCTGAGCAGGAAGGGAAGGCCCTTTACCAAAGTTCTCTTTCCATCCAATGGGAGGATCCTGTTTGGCACAGTTCTTATGCACCTTCTATCTATTCACCCCTCTATAAACAAAGTGGAAAACATTGTCTCCTGCCACAGAGGACAGGCACCCCCTGAAGTCAGAATTCACATGGGAGCCTCTCTGCCTGAGCCCCTCAATCTACCACCTGTCACTATGGTCGGTACAAACCTGAGGGTACGCCTGGGGGGGGACACCCACGCTCTCCCCGCCACTCCCACCCTACGGGGAGCACCACTGCTCCCACTGGGTCTCTGTCTCCTTCCAGCCCTTGGCGAGGAGGGCACAGGAGGAGGGAGAGGGAGGCCCTGTCTGAGGTCAAAGCGGGGTGGCCCACATGGAATGCACCAGCAAGTGCAAATCTTACCACACTTACCCTAATGACGTTGTACCGGTTGAAGATGCCTCCAGCATTACCTCCGTCTCTGTGTTCTCTGATTGTACTCTGCATCTGTATAAAAGAATGAAATGGCCAAAGTGACGGCATCGCCCAGAGGACCAGCACGTTAGGATTACAGAGCTGGCATCAGATCAGCGGGCCACATGGCCAGTTAGTTGCTTCTTACGTGCCCCAGCTCCAAGCGTGAAGACGTCTTCCTGGACCACCTGGTCTCCTCGCATCCCTGTCAACATTTCACCTCTACCCTCTGTCTTTCCTGGGTGTTAAGCATGCTAGCTGTCACTATTATTTATCTCCAAATATTTCACTAAGTTCAGGAGTAAGGAAGTGGGCAGGGAGCAAGCCGTCATGGAGAGATGCTTGAATTTAAACATGGCTACCCCATTCTGCTGACACACCCTCCTAAAGGCTGCAAAGAGAAAGGCCAAACGGAGGAATAAAAACCACGCTGCATCACAAGACTCCCCATCCATACGTGGCTATTTTGTGCCGGTTGGCACATTCTATTTTTTATTTCAGAAAACAATTCCCTGGAAATCTGTGTTTTTTACCGATCTGCTGTCAGTTGTCACAAAGTCAATCCCCAAAGCGCCAATCCTGGGGCCACTGCTTCCATCTCTGTCTGGATGACGTCTGTCAGGTGGCGCATCATCTCTGCTGCATAACCTGTCCAGGGTCTCTGCCTGCAAGCTGCTGCGCAATTCCTCTTTAGTGGCACGGCCTCACGCAGGGACCGGACACCCGTGACTGTGCAAAGAAGTCAACAGCACGGGGGGAGGTATTTACCAGCAGTCATGATTCTGCTTTTCCAGTGAGTGTGGGTGCCTGAGGAAAACAGCTGCAGCTCTTGGCTGGACTCCTCTGTCGACGGGGGGTGTGCCTCTGGGGCTCCTGCTCTCATACGGCAGAATCGCTGCCCCGCCACTCTCTGGGCAAACGTCTCCCCCGAGGCACACACTGCTATTCTGGAGCTCGTAAACATGCGGCCCGTGGGAAGCACTGGACGTGCCAGACTGAACACATGGAAAAGCTGGCACAGAGCACCGTCAGGACTTTCCCAATTCTTCTGGGAACACAAAGACTAAGGCTCAACGGAAGCGCTCACAGCGTCGACTTGGAGGAGGGAAGTGAGGGGACCCAGGATGCATGCTGTTCAGGAGCAGGACCACTTCCACGTACCTGGAGGGCTTCGAAACCACAGCGCTGGTTTCTTGGTGTTCTTGTGATCTTTGGCTGGCCAAGTCACCTACTCTCCCTGGGCCTCAGTTTCCTTCTCTACAGAGTGAGGAGTTTCGGCTAGATGACCACCCTCCTCCCTCCCAGCTCTGAATCCATGCCTGCTGGGGTCTTCCTGCGCTGCCCGCCTTCTCGCGGTCGCTTCTGTCGGTGATCTCTTTCAGGCGAAGCGATCTAGATCATTCCTTTCCCGGCTGGCACAATCTTCTCCTGTGGTTTTCACCGGCATCCCTCTGATCATCCCCGGTGCTGGGAATGTCCTTTCACAGAATAATGCTATGCTGAGCTGAGATTCTCCCAGTTTCCCTTGCTGTGGGAGGAACCTAAGATGGTCTGATCTGAATGGACGTGAATGTAACACTTCTCCAGCAGGGTCCTTTCTGCTTTTTCTTCATTCCATTTTCTCAGCTTCTTTCCCTGATGAAAGGCAGTGCCTGGCCAAGAACCACTCCTCACTCCCAGGAGCAATCTGGCTGCCCCTTCCCTAATGAACCAAAACACAGGAGTAGGCACACCTCACACTCCTCACCGCCCTGCCGAGACGGTCCCTTTGAAACCACTCAGCCATCCAGCCCTCACCCAGTCTGAATCCCCAGCCCCTCCAACGTCAAGGTTACTCTCTCTTCTTTACCCAGCCATATCCTGACCTGGTTCATGGGCTTCCTCCTCACCCCATCCCGGCTCTAAGATAAGCTCTAAGTCACTTTTCTCTATCTATATCTCCGTGTGTGTGTGTACATGTATGCGTTATACACAAGCCTGTCTGCCTCCCCCCCGCCCCAGGGCCTGGCCTTTCCTAAGCTCCCAGAGCACTGACCCCCCCTAGTTCCTAGGGCCAGATCTCTCCGCTTTTACTTCAGTCATCCCTGGCCTCACCCACTGCCCCGATGTGTATTGCCTGCTCGACCCAGAACTCGTACTGCGACCTCTAATCTGCTCTCCTCTTCCTAACCCCCTTCATGGCCAGCATGGCTTTTCTCATGTCCCCCCTCCCGCAGCACCTCCGCCCTGGCCTGACCCTCTTCCCTATATGCTACCCTGGGGCAGACTCCACGTCAGGATGGCCAAGGATGCTTAAGCTCTGCCTCTGACATACCCCCCAGTCCCCGGCTCCTCCAGACCCATAAGATGCCCAACAGCTGCTGCCCATGTTGGTAGTGGAACATGGCACCACCATCTCACCTAGGCCCTCAATGGGGTCCAGGAAGCCTTTCCTTCTTCCCTTCCAGACCTTCTCTTCCCTCCCCAAGCCCTCTACAGAACATTTTCCCTTTCCCCTGTCCTCAGAATTACAACTGCCATCTTACCTAGTCTGAAAGCAGTGGCCATCCTGAGCCAGGTTCCTCCTCTCTCCCACCACCACAAACCTCAACAGTGGTGCTGGGCAAGAAATCTTGCTCCGACGGCACCTCCCTCCACTGCTCTGTCTGCAACGTCCTCTGACCTACACACCATCATCCGTGGCAAGTGTGGATGCCCCCCAAAGCTGTGCTGGGTCCTCCCCTCCGTGATCTCAAGAGCTCTATGGGTTTATTAGCTTTTCTCTTTACACACATGACTCCCAGGTCTATCTATCCAGTCCTAATCTCTCTCCTGAGCCCACAGTTCCACATCACTACTTTGTGGATGGCCCCTGATGGTCCCATCAGCACCTCAAACTCAACACGTCCACAATGGCACTTAAGGATCCTCCCAAGCCCTCCTCCATTTTTCTTATCTCTATGGAAGATTCACCATGGAATCTTCTCTAACTCTTCATCCTTCTCATCAACTTTACTCCCCATTGCCTCTCACTTCCAAACCCTCCTCCCTCCTCACACAGCCTCTAACTGAGGTTCAGACCCTCTCACCCTCTCTCAACTTGTCTTCCCGCTCTCCAAACCATACTGCATAGGTCTGACCGTCACTGCCTTAACTCTGCTTGGCATTTAAAGCCTTCCATGCCTGGTGGCTCTTATCCACCATTCTAGACAGACTTTGCCTTCTATTTCCAAGCTGCCGTGGCCCACCAGGTACTCCCCAAACCTGCCACGTCGTCTCCCACCTCTGTGCCTTTCTCCACTCCCTTGTAATGCTTCCCCCCTTTTCAGGATACTGAGTGATCCCCTCCAGGTGTAGCTGGCCTGCCATTTCTGCAGCTTGGATCCCACCAGAGTTCATATTGTCTCCCTCCACAAATGACCAGAGATGCTTGTCTGCTTACATGCTGCACCCTTCCCGTCCCCAGCAGAACACAGACGCCTTGAGGACAGGGACGATTTTATTTTTGCCCTGTGCCTACGACAGGGCCTTACGCCTAGCAGGTACTATACATGTTGGTCAAAGGAGATATGGACAGATGGCAGTTTGTGTGAAAAGGACCCAAGTTTTAGAGAAGTCCAAGTTCATTGATTCTAGAAACTGTCCATGCTCTGTCTGCTGCCTCAGTCTCAAATGCTGGGGTCAGCTCTGGGCAGTACATTGTAGAGAGTGCACTTGGAAGAGGTGAGGAAAAGGGATGTGGTTAGCTTGTACAGGAGACGCTTGCCTCAGCAGGGATTTTTAACGTTTTTTTTTATTCCATCCTTGAACAATCTGGCAAGGCCTACCATCTCTTATGGAAGTTTTTTTTTTTTTTAAATAAACCAGGATGCCAATTTATTCATTGGCCCTGGGGATATGATTTTGAAGATACCAGAATTCTTGGGTCCATTAGCCAGTAACCCCTGTTTCTGGTAGGACGCCATTTACGAATGTTTTTAAATAGAAGTAAATGCAACATTTCTGTTAGAGGTTAGTGAAGATAAATGTGGCATTTTTTTTTTTTGATCCAAATCCACCAGAAATCTATGCACGGACTCCAGGTCAAATCCCCGTCTTACAGGGTACATGGCATATCTCAAAGGACTACCATGCAGAAAATGGATCAGACTTAGTTTCTTGGCCCCTTGGGTGAGAATTGCAAGAGAGGTAGCTTTTGGCTCAGCAAAAGGGAGAATTGTGCAAAAATGGACTCTGCTGCTTCACAAGGTGAGTGCCGTGTCACTGGAGGTAGTCCACAGGAGACTGAGATGGCTCGGGTGTCTGAGAATTCTTATGTTGGACGGAGGTGGTCACTAGTCACATGCTCTACACCAAGCCAATTGACACCTGCCAGACCTTACCACATCTTCATTCTAGCTTCCTTCAAGACTCCCGGTGTTGCTGAGGCCGAGGAGTAAGTACCAGCCTGCAGTTCTTGTACAAGTGATGGGCCCTGGACCAGAAGAACTGGTTCTGATAAGGACAGATCCTTCTGAGGATCTCTCCCCTCACTGACGTGAGTCTTCCTCTAGACTTGCCCTCCCCATGGGGGCATCATGTGTAGCCCCTGGGTGTCTATCAGCTGGGGCCGTTCTAGCCTCCTCATGACCTCTCTTTCTGAGTATCTATCTCCTGAAAAGTCTATTTTAAGGCACCAGAGGCACCCGATTCACCGTCCTTTGGGCTACCCACAATGTGGATTTCTCATATAAAACTTCAGCAACCCAGAGTCACGGGGTCCAACCTGTTTCCTTCCCTGTGCTCCCTGCTGGGCCCGTCGGCAGCGCCCACAGAACCCACGCTAAACAAAAGCCCCGCACACAGCGGCTCAATACACAGAACCCAAGCCCCTTGCTGCAAGCTCGGCACTGTCCTTGCACGCACAGGAATGCCGGCCGGCTGACTGATGAGCGCATTCTTGGAAATACATCACCTCTTCCTCTACCGACTGATACTCCTTGTCGTCCGGAGCAAGGTCTAACAGGATCGTTCCCTGATTAACACAGTGAAAAGTCAAGTAAGGATTGGTGCCTACAAAGGGAAAAGAGACAGAGACAGTTACTGTCACGACACCGCCGCAACGCACGTTTGAGGTAAAACCCAACACCTCGAGTAAAAACACGCCAAATACCAAAAACCATACCCCCAACACCCAGTACAGAAGCTCAGGCTATGCACAGCCTGAGGGGCACGCCCCCGATGAGGTAAGACAAAGCAAGTGCCTTCCACGGGCTCAATTTACTGATGCTGTTTGGTTTTATAAAGTGAGGAGCAACGGCCTGACCGCGCAGCTCAGAAAACTGACCGTCCCCACTGATCTCCAGTCACAGGGAAGGGAGGCTGTGTTTTTTATCATTCCGCACGACAGTCCCTGCGGCCCCACCCCCGGCCCTCCCTGTGTCCACCTCCCAGGGCGCGTGGCCTCGGCTCTGCCTGTGCCCTCCTGACCTCTCGGTGTGGTCACTCCCAATGGTCAGGCCCCAAATCCCCTCACCTTCCAGCTACTGGTTATCAGAATGGACTTCCCTTGTGGAGTCTCTGGTCAAAGGGTGTGTGACTTTTCCTAAAGAGGGAATCTCATTGTGTTCTTTTCCAGAACACTGAACCGGCATGGAAGAAGCAGGCCTCCTCTCCTATCTCTCACCACTTGTGCTCATCTCATGGCTGTCTGAAGCTGCGTTTCCCTGCTCAGCAGTGATTGTGCCCCACTGCTCAGGCAGGTGTGGGAAGTGGTTTACTAACATCTGCTCATATCCTTTGACCACTCGTCTCTCAGGGGCCAGGCTTGCTCAATCACTCCTCAGACCTCTGATCGTTCTCTGCATTTCCTCTCCATCTGGCATGTACTCACTGAAAACGCTGCCAACCGGGCTGCTTCCTCCTTCGCTAGCTAGCTGGCTGGCACACTCACTCCTCTGACCGGGATGAGGTAATGGGAAGAGGGCTAGATTTGAAGTCAAAGGGCCTGGGTGCGAATCCCAGCTCTGCCACTTCTTGGTAGACCTTGGGTAAGTCACTTTCACCCTCTGGGCCTCAGTTTCCTCATCTGTAAAATGAAGAGGCCTCTGAGGTCCCTCCCGGCTCTAGAACCTGGACGATATGACCCTACAATGACAACGGGACACCAGAGAGAAGCCGGACGAGGCTCCTGGGAAGGACCCGGACCCAGGGGCCGCCTCTTGCAGGCATCGGCTGGCACCAGCCGAGGGCGAGCTGGGGCCTGCCCTTCCTCCATTCGGGACAGTGACCCAGTGTCGGCAGAACCGCAGGATTACGGTCCCGAAGGAGCTCCCACGAGCCCTCCTGGCCAGTGGCCTCCTTTAGAGGCCAGGAACGGAGGCTGGGGAGGGGAGGCAAGGGCAGCCCGCAGCCGAGTGAGGATCTAAGCCCGGGCCCTCTGCTTCCCCTGAGCCCCATCCTCTTCTTTCTAGGCCACCGTGTGGTGTCTCCGGGGTCTGGAACCCAGGCGCTAGGACCAGAGAAGCGGCGTCTCGGAGGTCACGCAATCTCGTCCTTTCACTTTACAGGCAAGGGGACTCGGGCCCGGAGAGGGGAAGGGGTCGGCCCAAGGTCCTACAGGCTGAACATGGCAGAGCCGGAACCTGAACCCTGGCCCTCAGACTCCAAACCCAGGGGTCTTTCCAGTGCACCGTGCCACAATCAGCTTGTGCGTCAGAAGGGAGCTGACACTCCTTGGAGAACAGGCCTCACAGCCCCCACTCCCAGAAGATGAGGCGGCCGCTCAAGGCCACGCTCGGCGCCTGACCCCCCGGTCCCCATTCATCGAGCTTCCCAACACGCTGCGCTGGCCCACGGACCACGGCCCACAGAGGAAACAAGCGGGCTTGCTTGGCTCTGGTTGGGCGCCATTTCCTAGAAATGAAGCGCAACTCCCAACAGCAGCTCAGTGCGGGGACAGACCAAGAGCCCGGAGTCACACGGAAAGACGTGACGGAGTTCAGATTCGGCCTCAGACCCCGGGCAAGTCACCTCTCCCTAAAGCGCCGCCCACCATGGGATTGCCCTAATGGAGCCTGGGCGGGCCAAGGTGAAACGGCATGCCCAGGACCACCCAGCAAGTCTGTGTCTGAGGCCGGATGTCAACTCAGGTCTTCCTGACTGAGACTCAGAAGCAGGAAAGTCATTTTCTCGCTCACTCCCCTGACCTCCACCCCTTTCTGCTTCTTCCTCGGGGAACCAGAAAATCAAGTCACTGACTCTGGAAAGGGGCTATCAACTGACTCTCCCCTGACCCCACCATTTCGGTGACTTCCCTCAAGTCAGGGAACACAAAGGCTAACTCAGAGCCCGCAAGCTCCATTAGAGCGTAAGCTCCTAGAGGGCAGGACTTGTCTCGCTTCTGTATTTGTATGCCCACTGCTCTGTGTCCTTCATGGTTTCTGCAGCACAGGGCTGGGCCCAAGAAGTGTTACATGAATGATTTTCCACCAACTTTTCAGTCCTAAAAACAATCAAGACGGCCCAAGTTGTTGGCCTCCATTCGCCATGAGTATCTTACCTTGTTGCCCTCCTAAAAGTCTTTCCACCCCCTTGATTAATTTGTGACGATGCCCATATGCATTGATGCCTATTTCTTTCAATTCTTCATGACCCATATCTGCCAATACATCTAGGGTTATCTGGAAAATGGAAAAACAAATCCGGAGTTAGGACTTCACCAGCTACTCAGGACCCACCAGAACCTCACAGTCTACACGTCTGACAATCTTTTGATTCTTCCGTGGAAAGCAAAAAGAATTCACTCCTCTTAAAAAACGCACCGAAATGTGTCAGAATTATGTAATGATTTTAGTTTTCTTCAACTGCCCTTGAGTTAAAAACCGTACATGCCCAAGGAGAGGATGGAGGAGCCCTGGCCAGAAAGCCAAGCTCACTTTGGCAGAAAGATGGTGGGGGAGATCCAAAGTAGACACAACCTCAGTACAGCTCGACATGTCATGGCAGACCAGTCAACTAACGAGGCTTTAGGACGCCTTCGCGGAAGGTGCCATCCTCACAACCCTCTCACCAGACCACATCTAGGAAAGGACACTGGTGAAGCCAGTATGGGTCCAGAGGAAGACAACCAGCGAGGACGCGTTAAACTATGACCTAACAGGAGGAGCTGGAGAAAAAAAGGCCCGCTGATGCTCACTACCTGAAGGGGGATGGCCCTGGGACCCAAGGATGCAAGGTAGACAGAAACATTTCTGCTCAGGAGCTACTGGATAATGAGAACTATCTAACACTGGAAAGAGCTGCCGTGTGGGGAGGGAGTAGGATCAGGGAAATGGCTGCGCCTGGAGCCAGAGGGGGAGGGGCTCCGAAGGCAATGAGGCAGCACACGGAGGTGGCTTCTTCTAGACTCCTACTTCTTCACTACGTTAGGGACTCTCTTCTACTGACTGATTTATTTGTTGTCTGACTAGTGTTTCTGCACGGCTTTTCTCCCTATGAAGATGTCCTTTTCCTTCCCCTCCTTTCATTCCAGTGGTTTCTTGCTGTGACAAGGGGAGCTGGGCTCCCTCAGCCACGACACCGGAAGCCCTGCTGGACAATCGTCCACAGCCCCTGACTGCGGCTCCTTGCTCTGTCCCCTTCTTTAGGCCATACTTTACGCAGTTGCTTAGGATGCTCAAGACCACTGCTTCTTAATGAAAAAGTGAAGGTGAGACCTTGTGGAATAGACTACCTGTTTATACTCTCCAAATAACATAGCCTGCAAAACTGAGCTGATCATCAAGAACAAAAGAGATGGTACAGGAACCTGGAGGCATTTCTCTAAAGGAAACCAGGTGAGACCATCATCCAGCAAAAGAAACACAACAAAAATAAATGCAGGCAGCAAGAAAAGAATAAGCAGTGAAGATGAAACCAATGCTTTCACACTTCTAGGGTTAAGACAAAGAGAGTACAACTTTTTTTTTTAAAGTTCTTCTAGGGCAGCGAGGTGGCGCAATTAGGGCTCTGGCCTTGGAGTCAGGAGGACCTGAGTTCAAATGTGGCCTCAGACACTTGACACTCACTAGCTGTGTGACCCTGGGCAAGTCACTTAACCCCGACTGCCTCACCAAAAAGCAAAAAAAAAAAAAAAAACCACAACCAAAAAAAAAGGAGGTGCAAACCACCAGGAACCTCTCTAAGAAGGACCGATGGGTGACTCTGGCCTGCTAGGCCATGTGAGAATTCCAAGACAACCCGAGGCACCGAAGTCGTTCGGTACAAGATGGAGGACTAAGGTTCTGCTAGAGGGACATATGGCTGGTTAATTAGTGACCTTATACTAGAGCCCTACTCCAGTCCTCCATCATGGCTGGGAGATGACCCACAAACTGTGGGTAGGTGCCAAGCGCGCAGACTGGCTCAGGGGCAGATGACCCCCAGCCTGTGTCTAGCTCACGTCAGAACGCTTCATCACCAGGAGACCTGACTCCAAGAATGAATGTTTCTGGCCACAGCAAGCAACTCCATTGTCTACTAAAATGCCTCGGAGGTCTGAGCAGTCCTAGCTAGTGGAGAGACGACCCCACACCAAGGAAATCATGGTTCTTCTGCCAGTCAACACCTGACCTGAAGAGGTTCCCTACTGGTGCTATAAAGGGCTCCTTCCATGATGCCTTCCTTAGAGGCCCATCTGTGTGAGGGTGCCCCACCATCTAGGAAGGGCACTTTTGAGGGGGAATGCATTCAGAGGAAGCTAATGAGGAGGTCAGTGAGGGACCTTTGGACAGTGCCATAAAAAAGGGCCCTCAGGAGGGCTCACCTCATCCTCATGATTTCTAAACACATTTGCCAACATTTTAGATCGAAACAGAAACTACCTGTCTGGTAACCGGAGATGAGTTTATAAAGGAAACTGCCTGAGGCCCATGAACTTGCTTTAGTATTTTTAATGGGCTGCTCAGGGAGAATGAATGGAAATCCAAAATGAAAGAAGAGGCTGGCTCTGAATGAGCACCCAGGAGAAATCCTCGACCAACCCGACATGGCACCGCTGAACAAGACCTTTCTTACCTGTTCTGTTTCAAATATATCCCGGAGGTGTTCAAGGCCCAGGCTTTTGAGGAACTGGCTGATATTCATGTCAAGACCTGTCACTGTAACAACACAAATGTGGGGAGGTGTCTGAGCAAGGACTCGCTGTGGAGGCTAGGCACTTTGGGCTGCATGAGCCACTTTGCCCAGCCAAGAAGGCACAGCGATTCCTGCAGGCCCAATGGAACTGAACATAGAAGGGATTCCCCAGCAAACTCTTCAGTCCATTCGCCTTTATCTGTACCTGCTGGTTTTTACCCACATCACGCAGCCTGACCATGACCAATACACATTTCATAAAGCGGCTGAGGTTCACCCTTTTGCTGCGCTCCCCCCCAGTAAATCGTTGCAATCTTTTCTGAGCGAACTTTCAACAGTGAGGAAAGGACTGCTGAGCAGGTCAATGAACCCCCAGGCCTGGCCTCTGAATTACTGGAAGAGAGAAGAGCAGAGTCTCCAAGAGACCTGGTGGCTGAAGACGCTCAGGAAGCAGCTCACTAGTGATCTGATTAGGTCTGTGCCGTGGGCAGCTACTTCTCCCCAGACAGGCAGCCTTCAAGCGACCTTTCCACCATTCCCACCAGGAAAATAACATCCTTCGTGCCACCTTCCCAAGTGCCCAGCCCTGATGCCAGCTTACCTTCCCCTTCTTTCCTCTGTGCCCCCGCTGCTCCATCCCCAGCATTGGAAGTCCCTCCTACTGCTAGTTCTGCCAAGGGGCCAGCGAGGTTGTCCAGGCTGCTCGCAGCAGAAAGGCAGGACGGGGTGGAAGCTGGGGAGATGAGAGAGGCACTCACAACAGTAGCCTGGGGCTTGAAACACGTAGGTAAGGCCTCCGGGGGCATGGCGTCGATCAGCAAAGCTCGGATGTCGTCAGCCTGCGAAGGAAGGCACAGCAGCGGTTCAGAAGGCCTGGTGTGGGCCTGGGCCGGAGATGCCCCACCTGCCTCCCTCCCTTCTCTCTTTTCCTTCAGCACTGTGTTTGGGTGGGGCCAGGTGAGCCTGAGGACCATTTCAGATCTCAAGGACTGGACTTCCATGTTTTTCAGGGGCCAGAGAGACCGTTTGTTCTAAGCAGTTTTCTTCTTTTTTTTAAAGTGGGCGCAATAATTTTGGAGTTTCAATTTCAGTTTAAGTAATGAATGTATCACAAAATCCAGATTTTTAAATACACGCTTTTTCATTTGGTCTGTTTCTTTGTTAAACTGAAGAGAAAACATGGTTTCAAAGACCACTAGTTATTTTGACCTAGTCATTCAGGTCAACACCCATGCGTTTCTTATCTTCTCCAAGGATTGTTGAGTGAAAACGGTGAATCGGAATGCATGGGGAATGCTATCTTTTGGTCAAGACAAGATTCAATAGAAAATCTTAAAAAACTGCTTGTTTCCAATGTTTCTTTGATACCTCAGTGCACTTTCTTGCCTTGCTAACAGTACAGGTTATTACCAAAACTAACTCTGCCTTTCCTTAAGGGCTGCAGATCTTAGCAGGGATCAGCGTCACACACGTCCACATCCCCAGTCACCAATGTAACGCTGTAAGCGATAGCCAATCTTGTGGGAACTGTGTGAACCAAACAAGCTCCGTCTTGTAAAGCTGACTCCTTTCTGAGACTCTGATTTCATTTTCTGCTCCACGCCCCACCTCCCCCCCGCCAACTGTGGGACCTGAATGACAGTCTGAGGCTTTAGGGGGCTTAAGGAGGCCGGGGAGCCCTGCATTTGGAGTCCAATTTAGGGGCGGCGGGGGCTTTGGACTAGTCCCAGACGGCCCAGTGAAACGTGAACTTGCCGTTGCCAGGTCTAACGGCGTCTGTCCTTCTTGATTCTTCATGGTTGGATCTGCCCCGTGCGCCAACAGCAGGGCACACAGCTGCGTTCTTCCTTTCTGGGCTGCTTCATGTAACGGAGTGAAGGCCCATTTATCTGTGGCGTTCACACACGTATTGTATTTGATCAGCAAAGCCGCGATGTCCACGTGCTGCAAAAACAAAAGGAGTGAAACCAGTGACGAGGACGAGTCCTTGGGATGTCAGCTTCCCCTCCTGACTCGTACCCTGGACTCTCTCCCTCCCTAACCACCACCCTTTGCCCTCCCCAAAGGACTCTGGCCCTTCTGCTTTCTAACACCCTCAGGCCCCCCTCATCTTCAGTCTATTCCCGCACCTACCAACCTGACCCCTAGGTCTGACCCACAAACGACGATCCATCCAGGATTTCTCTCTTTTGCAGCCAGGACACTTTGAAGGTATCGCTCGCAACTATTCTTCATAAAATCACAGCATTTCAAAGTTGAAGGCCCCTCAGGGGCCATGAGCCCAAGCCATCCATGAAAAGAATTTCCACTCTCGGGGAGGGCTGACTCCTGCCCCAAGATGGCCCTTTCTCCTCTGAGTGAGGTGGGCTTTCCTGACATCCAGCTTCCATGGGCATCCTCACTACTTCACCCACTGCTCCTGGCTCTCCCCTCTGTGATCAAACAGAACACAGGGCACCCCTCTTCCACATGCTAAGCTTTCAAATGCTTAAAATGAGCAAGCCTGTGCTCTCCTGAGGCCCTGACCCTTCCACTCCTCCCCATACACACTCCAGCTCCTGTCACTGAATCACCCAAAATCTGGGGAGTTAGACCTCCCAAGGTCAGTCCTTTAAATCCCCCCCCCCCCCCCCCGAATAAGAAGCTCCTCCACAGTAAAACTCCTCCGGCAGCCCTCCCGCCTCGGGAGGCAGCCCATCACACTTTTGGAAAACTAACTGGCAGTTTTCCCTTCTATCAAGCCTTTCTGGGCCAACACTCCTGGAGTATAGTAGAGTGAACGTCAACTCCTTGAGAAGAACTTGGTCTACATTCCCAGCCCCGAGTACATGGTAGGGGCTTGATAAAGGCCTACCGGTTGACTGTTTCCCTCGGCCCTCTGGGGCTAATACTTGGTCGCCATGCTCTGCATCTTTCCTCCTTTGGCTTCAATATCCCTCGTTCCTCCAAATGATTTTTTTTTTTTGGGTTAGGCAATGGGCTTAAGTGACTTGCCCAGGGTCACACAGCTGGTAAGTGTTATGTGTCTAAGGCCGGATTTGAACTCAGGTCCTCCTGAATCCAGGGTCGGGGCTCGATCCATTCCTCCAAATAATTTTCATACAGACGGTCGCCAGGCTCCCCAAAGCGCACACTCCCCACATGTGCTGTACAAAATATCGCTCTGCTCGCCAGCAGTCAGAGGCAGGACACGTGTGACCTTGGTGTGTGTGACCCCATTCTCTCACATCACATCGTCAGTCTCTTCCTCCCTGTTTCCTTCATCCTCAAAAAAACCACCACGAACCCAAACCACTGGGTCCACCCATCCCTGCTAGCTACTGTCCTGGACCTACCTCTCCCCTTTCTGTGACTAAGCCCCTTGGGATGGCCATCTTCCAAAGCGGCCTCCACTTCTTTCCTCTCACTCTCTTCTGGTTTCCAACTTCATCATTCAAGCAAAACTGCTTTCCCCCAAGCTACCAACATCTTCTCATTGCCACATCCAGTGGCCTTTTCTCCATCTACTTTTCCATGGAACTTCTCTGTCCTGGCTGTCTTCCTACAGCTCTTGGATGCTCATCGAGGCCCCACGAACTGGACGGCCAAGGCCCTGTCCTGAGCGCCCTTCTCCCTTCACACACCATTTCACTTGGTGGTCTCATTAACTCCCACAGATTCCACGCCATCTCCATGATGATGATTCCTAGATCTCTGGACCCAGTCCTAACCTCTTTGCTGACTTCCACTCTTTTATTTCCAACTGTTGACTGGACGCCTTGAACCGCATGTCCTGGAGACGTCTTAAACTCAGTACGTCCAGAACTGAACTCATTCATTGCCTCTCACCCTCTAATCCCTCCTCCTTCCAAATTCTGTATGACGGTTACGGTGTCACCAACTTCCCAAACTTGATTCTAGGCGTCATCTTCAGCTCCCCAGATCCAGCTAGCTTTAAAGTAATGTCCACCTTTGCAGCACATCTCCTAGATGTCTGCCCCCTTCTCTCCACAGACGCTGTCACCACCCTGGGGCAGGCCTCCGTCGCCTCAGGCCCAGATTATGGCAATAGCTGCTGGCTGGCCTCCCTGCCTCAGGTCTCTCCCTACTCAGCTGATATGCCTAAAGCACAGAGGCCTCTTATTCTCCTTCAAAAATCTCCAGTGCTATAGAAATGTGAGCTATTTTGTCCTTCAATAAATTAACTAAATTTGCATTCCTAGCTTCTCAGTGGTGAGACAGGGCGAGTGAGTGATAGGATGTTCTCGGTTTCAGAGAACTGTTCTGATGGTGACGGGAGTGTGCAGCATCGGAATCTTTCAAAGGATATAACTGCGAGCTTTCATCGCCTCCTCACCTTGTCATCTCACCCCTCCGTCTGCCCGGAATGAAGTGAATCTGACCTATGACTTTGTGTAGATTCTGGGCTACTCAGACATGGCCGTTGTGTCAAGTTACCAGCTTTTACAGAATTTAGTCCCTATGCTAACGAAGTTGAAAAGATGGATCTCAGTTTCAGGCAGTCTCTGAGCCCTCAGTTTCCCAATTCACCAAGTTCCTCTAGGCCCAGCTTCACTCTGCCTTAGTCAGTCTTCCACCACCATCACCCATAACTGGGCACCTCCAGGATCCTGACACCAGGACTTTCCCCTTTTCTTCACCGTCTTTACTCATTTACTTCTCCCTCTACCTAATCGATGCCTTATCCTCACCACAACTGCAAATCCCTCTCTCAATCCATGTTCTTGTAGTCCACCTCTATTTAGTGTCTATCCAGTGCTCAGCACACAGTAGGTACTTCATAAATGTTTACTGGATGGATTGTCGAGGCTTAGAAAAATGTCATCAGGCGAAATGAATGAGGAAGAGAGGATGAGTTGATCATGTAGCAAGGTCAAGGAATGAGAGTTAAGAGTGAGCCGTGAGGCCCTGGTGTCCCTGTGCTGTCAGAAAGAAACTCGGGCCTTCATTCAGCACCCTGGGAGCATCCCCTCTGGAAGACACAGACGAGAGTCACACATGGGCCATCGGTACGGGGGGAGGTCATGTCGATGAGACCCCAGACTTAGCTGAAGAATCCTCAAAGGACGACCTTCTACTTCGTGTCCAGTCATTTGTCATCACCAAAGTACGGCCTTCTATGTTTTCTACCTCCGTGGAGTATATGCCCAGCAGCAGAATCTCTTTAATAAACAGTACCGACATTTTGTTCATTTCTTAGCTTAATTCCAAACTGTTTTCCATGTCATTTAACTTTCCTCATTTACAGAATGAGAGGGTTGGACCAGAGGAACTTGGAGGTTCTTTTTAGCTCTAACTTGACCATTTGCTGAACCCCGGCTCTTTCCCTCCTCTTCAGTTCCCCAGCCAGCTCAATCACCTGCGTCTGTCCAAGACAAACAAACCACTGGACCATATCTATTAGGTTGTCTGTCCGACTCTTACCAAAGTGCGAACAAACGAAACGATCCATCCATTTGGTCTTTAGTATGTGGATTCTTAGGCCAAACTCCAGAAAATAGTGGCTGTCCTATGGAAAGTTAACATTCCTGAGGCATGATAAGATCAGCACAGTGCCACCTGGAGCCAATGTGAGCACCAATCTATCTGGGGAACTACAGCAGACATCCCTTACGACTTAACTGGTAAAAAGACTTTTTAATACATTGCTTCTTCATTCTCTGGCTTTCCTTCAAGTAGAGCTCTGAAGACGTTTACTCTAAAGTACATCTCTCTAGAGGGATGAGCAATGAAAATCAGTACGACGGCTAATTTTGGAGAAGCCTGAGCAGAGAATCTCAATGTTAGATGGGCCCCTCAAAGAAACCAGCTAGCCCAAAACCTCACTGCAACCTGTGTGACCAGTAGTTGGCCATATAACAAAAACGATTTGCCTGAAGGCCTCCAATGAGGAGGCCAGGAAGCCCTTCTGCTTTGGGGGGCTTTCTTCCTCAACTCAAGGCTAGGTTCTGAGTTCTGCCCCTGGGGCCAATGAGCCCTAGGAAGTTACCAGGACAAAAGAGAGAGGAACTACAAACAGAAGGGGGCTGCTACAGCTTCCTCGCCTTACATTTTCTCACCAGGTTAGAGATCCCCAGTGCCTCTACCTGATTCCTTTTCCATGCTGGCTTCCCTCCTCTGCATGCTCTAATTCAATAGTTCAGTTGTGGTCTGACCCAGAAGGACTGGAGGGGAAGTGCCATTTCCCTAACCCTGGCCACCGTGCTCTGCCAGGCCCTCTCCATGCAGTCCAAGACCGCGGTAGCTGTTCTGACAACCACACCCTACTGCTGTTTCATACTGCAGTATCAGCCACTCAAACACCAACCCCATGTTGAGATGAACGGCTGTCTAGCCATACTGCCTCAAGCAGGTGATAACCTACCTGCTGGGAGCCTCGCCACCCCGACAGCACAAATCCACCTAAGAGCGCTATTCATCGAGCTCCCATCTCTCCACCTTGTCCACAAGAATAACAGTGAGAGACCTGTCACAGAATGGTGATGTCATGTGGCGGGCGCACAGGGTGTTCAGGCAAACCATCTACATTCATGGCCATCTGGTAACCCCATCAAAAAAACCGAATCAGGTAGTCCAGCATGAGCTATATTGGATGAAGATACACCGGCTCTCCTTGGTGATCCCCACAACCTTTTCTAGAGCTTTTCTAACCATCCCTTCTCTAAGAGGCTAGTTTCCTGGGCGATTAACAGTCTGCCAACTCAATGATTCCTGTCTGCCCTTTCCCCCAACCTGGGGCACGTCTCCAGGATCTCTCCGCGCTCAGGCAGACAGCCCAGCAGCCATCCTGGCCATTTCTTTCAGGACGCACCTCATCGGACCAGGCTTCAACTCCACAAGTGGAATTGGGTGGGCTCTTACTAGTTCCTTACTCGTCCCTGGGATCAATCTCCCTAAATCAGTCACTTTTGTTTTAGCCTTGGATTATTGTCCTTGGCAGAGTGAAGGAAAAAAAATCACAAAATCAGAGTTGAGCGACTGCCTGCCGCTGTCAGCCACCAGCTGATGTGCTCACAGCAGAGATCCCATAGGGAAGGGCCACTTCTCTTCCTCCGTGCAGCTAAAAAACCCAGCCCTTTGGGCTCTCCTAAGTCTTCCTCAGCTCATTCTGAGCAGGAACTTCACAAGGAACCCTCCCTGATGCTGAGTGAGGAAGCCTTAAGAAAAGCTTCAACCACCTGATCAAATCCCTGCCAGCCCCTGTCGCTCAGCCAAGGGATGGGACAGGCTGAACTAGACTAATGAGGCTAGGCACTCACTTCTCTTATCAAAAATCCTCTTTGCTTTTTGATAAAGAAAGAGGGTGAAGAGACAGGAGGAAGAATTTCAGGAGGGAATCTGCTTCAGGCTGAACCCTCCCCGAAGTGCCTGCACCTGAGAGGGGCTCACAAAGGGCAATTCTACACTCATCACGCACCCTGCTCTCCATCGGACTCACAGCACGATCACAAGTGTGGCTGCTGCTCATGGCAGCTGAGCTCACGGTTTCAACTGAAGAAGTGGGATGGAGGACACTATTACTTGGCAGATGAGGGCTGAGGAGCAGAGCTCTGAAAAGGGGCTTCCAGGCACACACAGCACTGGAGGGAACACCGGGAGGGCAGCTAAGCGCTTATTTACCGAACCCTTAATAACAAGCACACACGAAATACTTGGTGGGTCAGCTCTGCTACAGAACCGCCCACTTCTTGTGGTCAGTGACATCTGCCCTGCCGCTGCCTCTGCAGGTCCTCGAGGCCTTGCCATCTGTCCTGATGCCATGTCATCTCAGGGTAACCTAAGGCCTCGTCTGGGCCTTGTCTTCTCCCTCACCGCTGCCCTGGAGGATTCCAGGGTCTTCCCATCTCCTCATCAGCTGATCGTTCTTCTGTGTGCTGTCCCCTAACGCTCAGGACCGCTGACAACAGGGACAGCGTCACTCTCTCTCGTTCTGTCCCAGCACTGGGCACAGGTGTTTGTATATTCATTCATGGAAACTGAAAAGAAAAAGTCCTCAGCCATGGTTCTAAGAGCAAGACAAGCACCAGGGACCTGTGAAGGGGACAGAAGTTTCCCTGTGATCCACGTGAGCTCTGCCGCCTACATTCCAACACCTTCAGAACCAGCCGCGGCTTCCTTATTCATCCTGGAATACCCCTGCAAGGCCCAGGTCTGCTCTCCCCTTGGCGAGGGTCTGAGCTGGCCTGCCTTCATTCCTCAGCTGGCCCTGTTCCAGACTTTCTGGGGAGGTTCCCTCGAACCCCCCCAAGGACATGTGATCTCAGAGCCCTGCGGGAACACCCATTAGGATGTGCCGTGCATGTGCTCTAGCCTCAGGGAGCTGTCTGGGGGCCCTGACCAGAATGGCCATAGGTGGGAGCGGTGGGGCTTATGCCCGGGGCCAATAGGGGGAAGTGCCCGCAAACAGCAGGGAGGCACGCATCTGACAGACGTGGCCATGACTGGTAAGTTACTGGCTTACAAAGGAGAGAGAAGCTTTGGCCCTTCACAGAGTTTTAGCCTGATCAGCTACGCTGCATACACAGGGTGGTGAGGTCATGCCCCGATGCTTTCCATGACCCACAAGAACTGACAGAAGGCACGAAGCAACTCCCCGACTGAGAGATAATTAAGGTAAAAAACCTAAACTGATTAAGGCATGATCACAGTTTCAATCAAGCCCGTCAACTGTTCTTTACGGAACATCTAAATGCATTCATTCAATACACAGACGCAGAGGTGCAGGGGACTTGTCCTCCAGGAAAGGCCTGGAGCCCCGGGACAGGCCGACTCAGGGTCTCTGCCCACAGTCACTTCACAGTCTGAGACGAAGGCACACACACCAAAGCCTTCTCTGTATCCCTACAGAAAACAATGACTGACTGGACACTTAGGTGAACCATTACATGCTGCCAAATTCTAAATGGAAAACAGCAATCATAGCATACCAGCGTTGTGGGGGGCTTCAGAGGACGGAAGAAAACAGAGGGGAGCCGCTTTCTGCAGAACAACTCATCTGGCCCGTCACAGCCAGTCAGCCTGGCCGTCTCCTCACCCTCTCCCCTGCCTCTGCGCCACACTTACCTGGCAGGGTCCCCCGCCTAACTACAGCCACGAGCATGGCCGTCACTCTGGGAAAGGGAGTGCCCATCGACTCCCTTGGAGCTCCCCCTCAACACCTGAACCCTCTCCAATCCAGAGCCTTCCTCCCTGGCCACGGCATTCTCTCGAGTGTTATCGGCCTTGACTAGAATGTCAGCTCTTAAAGGCAGAGACCACAGCCCATCTCCCGGTAAACCCATGACAAATGCCCATCCACTCATCTGCCCACGTTCAATGACGGCTTGGGGGGTGAACGGGAGTGACTACTTAGGCCACGACCTCGCACACGCTTACCCCATATGACGCAGCGTTATGTAAAGGAATAAGGCCTCCTTTGTCTTGAGCGTTAACGTCTGCTCCATGTTCCAAAAGATACTCGGCTACTTCCAGGTTATTGTAACCTGCTGTAGGAATAAGAAGGGAGAGACATCAGAACACGTGGAGTTGGGAGGATGGGGGGCTGCACCCCATCTGCATTGGGTGGCATAACTAGCCCTGCGCCTTCCAAGATGTTTACGGGAGAGCTGCTAACTCGCTGCCACCACTCTTCTACACCAAGGTGCACGCTGTCTGAGTGGCCTAGCTCCGGCCTCCAACCCTTCTCCTCTGCAGTCAGTTAACAAACACTTACTTTTAAAGCCCTTAGCCACGAGTCAGCCCCGGTGCTAAGAGTAGGAGACACACATGGGGTCCCTGGAGGGAAATCCTGGGGCTGAGGGGAGACACGAGTAACTGTAGGGGACAGAAGCAGGTGTTTCAGCCGAGGCTTGAAGGAAGCAGAGGAGGGCAGGGGGACAGCCAGGGCAAAGGCCAACAGCCAGGAGAGATGTTAAGTGTTTGTGCAGGGAACAACAGACTGGACTAACAGGCACAGAGTGCACGCAGCAGGCTAAAGTGTAAGACTGGCAAAGGAAGAAAGGCCAGGTGACAGACAGAGAACTGTGCTCTAGATCCTCGAGGTCAAAGGCAATCATCGAGCACGTACTGAGCAGGGGAGCAAGGAGACATGGGAAGACCTACAGACCTACCCCTCTGGCAGCGTAGTGGAAGACAGATCGGAATGGGAGAGACGTGAGGCTGGGACACACACTGAGGCTGCTAGTCTAGGAGAGACAAGGTGAGGGCCCAAACGAGGGAGCTGGGTGGAGACAAGGGGACACGGTGGTAGAAAGGATAAGGTGCGGCAAAGCATGAAGCACACAGGGTGAGGGGGAACAGCTGAGGACAATGCCGAGGCTGCAGGCTGGGGCGTCTGAGAGGACAGCGGTACCTTGAAAAGTCATCGAGAAACCCGGAGAGGGGAGGATCTGAGAGGGAATGCTGTGCGGTAAAAATGATGCAGGGGACGGCTTCAGCAAAACAGAGCGAAGCGAGCAGAAACGGGACGGCGAGGACACAGTGACAGCCACGCCACCGCCAGGATCCACTGGCAGAGACATTCCGATCAGCGCCAGGACCCACCACAGCTCCAAAGGACTCAGGACATACAACGCCATCTGTTTCCAGCTAAACACTGACAGACTCGGAGGGCAGACAGAAGCATCACTTCCCCCCTTTTTATTTCTTTTTCTTTTTTTGTACATGGCTCACGTAGAAATGTTCTGCGTGAGTGTATATGTATGCTGAGCATCGTATTTCCTGCGTTCTCAATGGGTGGCTGGGTAGGGGGGAGTCAGAAGGAGGAACAGAGTGTGGAGCTAAAACTAAAAACAAAAGAACGTGAGAGACGAAGGAAGAAGCCGGCAGAAAGTGAGTAGAAAGTGAAAAGAAGAGCAGGGTGACTTGCTGGAGAAGGCAGGAAGGGCTGAACCAAGGGTGCCCATAGAGAGGTTGCCCCTGGCAAGGAGGAGGGAGAAGAGGCAGCTTGCAGCAAAATGACTCAGCTTTTGCAGCGAAGTAAATGGCCAGAGGGTAGGGGAAGCAGGCGCTGTGAGGTGCCAGGCAGAGATGAGGTTAAGTGTGGAGAGGGGCACACCAGATAGATCAAGAACAGAATGGTGGTCCTACGGAATTCAGAAAACTGAAGCGTCCAGCAGACCCCATCAGCACAACGTTGTGACTTCTTCCAGCTCACAGCGGGGCTGATGCAGGGGTGGGGAGCGGCAAGGCACTGCTGTTGGCCGGACATGGCAACCAGGCAGCCGAGAGGGGAGGGCAGCACAGAGCCGAGATGGCTCAACAAGGGGTTGAGACAGGAAAGGAGAGGAGGGGATGACAGCCTGGCAAAGAACTGAGGGGAGGGAAGCATGAGTGGTGAGGATGAAGACCAGAGTTAGGGATTACAAGGTATAGGGAAATGCAGAATGATAAAGCTTATGATCAGAGAAAGAAATTCTAGAGTTCTTGAACACGGAAAGAGAACACTCCTAAGGGATAACCTGGGGCAGTCTGATGTAACTTTGCCCCTAAGGTGGACTGATTTGGGACTGGACTTTGGGGAAGGAGTCTTTTCAGGACTTTGTCAGAGGACTCCTGTGGCCCTTGGGAAATTTCATGATGACTACTGTCTATTTCCCTGCCCACAGCTTTTACTTTCCTAGGCTGCCTGTAACCAGGGATACATGAAGATGTTTTTCTGAAAGAGAATGCTTATTTCAACCCTCAGCCTGAGGGGAAACAACTGTAAAATGGGGCAAGGAAGACTGCCATGAGGAGGGAGCAGAACATGGAAGCAGGGAGAAAGGGAAGTCTGTTCATTAGGCACACTGTCACATTCCAGAGGACGCCGCGGAAGGAGTGGGCAGCACATCTGGAGTGGGACACCACGGGCCAGGGTTGAAACAGACAGGAGCAAGGCAGGAAGCAGCTGAGGATGGCAAACAGGGCTGGTACCTTGGCCACTGGAGGTCTGGAATCCTAGGCACAGGGAAGAGGAGGGCCCACTAACCATTAAGAGAATGAGTTCATGCACCTGTCACTGGTTGGAGCTACGTCTGTCCACATGCTAAGGTGCCGGCCATGTGGCATCCTGGGACGGTCGTGAACAGGCCCCTCCTCTCAGCAAGAAGGGGCAGGGGGAGGTCTTCGAGTCTGGTCTGAAGGGATGTGGAGAAGTGCCTGAGAGCACAAGTGGGAAGTGGGGGGGAGGTCTGAGGCAGGGCAGGCTGTCCTGCCTGGCCCACCCACAGAGGTGGCAGGGCTTTTTGTGAGGCAGGCTGCCTGGTGTTGGAGAAGGCCTTGGGGCATCTACAATGGCTTCCTCACTGGCCTCTCTTCTTCCAGTCTTCCCCCTGCCCAATCTGCCCTCCACTCAGCCCCCAAAGTGATCTTTCTCAGGCGCTGCTCTGACAACGTCGCTTCCCAGTGTTCCCCCATAGCTGCTGGAATCAATCCCTCTTCCATGTCCTGGCACCAACAGCCATTCCCCTTTTGCTCCGAGTCACCTTCCTTCCTACAGTATTTGGCCCTTTCTAACACGCTCTGCTGCAGCCCCTCAAATGGTGTCCTGCCTCGCCCGGCCTGTCCTCCTCTCCACGTCCTCTGGGAAGGTGGGCCCGATACCCCTAGTTCTTCTTTGTGCTCTTGCCTTCATTTTGTCTTTGGGTCTGAGGTTTGGGCACAGGACCAAGGACAAAGATGTAGATGAAATAAAAGCAGAGCCTTCAGAAGGGTCTGTTGAATTCAAGTATTTGCTGAGGAGCAGCAAGGAGTCATGGATAAAGAGCTAGCTGTGAAGGTAGGAAAGAAGCCCTGGGGTCCCACCCCTCCTCCTCTGACACTCCCATCCTGGCTGGGCAAGGCACTTCCCCTCTGGGACCCCCAGCAGTCCTCTAGGACCAGCCTGTCCTTCCTGGTACACAGACTTTCCTCACAGGCTATTCCCTGCACCCAAAAAAAAAAAAAAAAATCAAAACAAGGCAAGCAGCAAGCCTGCCCCAGAAGTCCTTTGGGTAAATCAGAGCAGGCAGAGATGGGCCCAGCCCCTGAGGGAGCTCACCTGCCAGATGCAGCGGGGTCGAGTTTCTGCCCTGCGTGTCTCTGCAGTTGATGTTTTCCGGTGAGCACAGCTTCTGCACTCGGGCCAGGCAGCCCTTCTTGGCGGCATCCAACAAGGCGGCGTCTCCTCTGAGCAGGTCCTGGATGTCAGTGTCTCCTTCCTTCACCAAGTCCAGCGGAGTGTTGCCATCTCTGTTCTTCTTAGTTGGGTCTGCTCCGTGCTGCCGAGGAAGAGGGAGACACAAACCCACTGAGTCCGGCCCAAACACTCTCTCGCCTTTGCTGCTTCATTGATTTTCATCCCAAGCTACAAAACTCCTTCCTCCCCCAAATCTTACTGGGAAAACCATCCATCCTAATTCCGAAGCTCTCTGGGAACGTCATCCACGTGACTGCTGCTACCTCTGGCTCAAGCTCAAACAGCTCAATCAACCTTTAGGTCCATGGGGTGCACTCGGTGGTCAGGAAGGTCTGAGCTCAAATCTGTCTCTTAGCCCTCCCTTCCCAGCTGGGGGTCACTTAAATGAGAGGACACTGTCAACTGCTCTGCAAACTTTCTCCTGGAATGTGAATGGGAGCTATCAGGATCGTCAGCACCAGCCCAAAGCAGAGCTTCCTCCTTTGCCCCCACGCATCAGGGCCACAGCTACTACCCTATGGCTTCTGTCCTCCTAGGGATGGCCTAACCGTCCGCCACGGGTGCGGAACACCACATGTTCAAGAACCAGACCAAAAGAAAAGAAGACAGTTCCCTGACTTGATGTCAACGTGCCCTGGCCCAAGAGTTTCCTTCGTGGACACTCCCTGCCTTGAGTTCCTTGAACAGAGATTCCTATGGCTTGTTTTTGTTGAAATTCATGGAACAGTGAAAGGGGTCAGAGACCCCCTTGATTAGTTCTCCTCCTCACCATCCCACCCATGGGGCTAAGGACTAAACCAAATCAAGATTCTTGGTCACTATGGAAACAGTTTGATTGGCACTTTCTGGGAGAGACAAGATGCAGATCAATTTGTCCAGCGACAGCAAGTACAGCACCGCTGTCCCCCACCCCCAGCTACGGCCTCTAAGAGCTGTGCACGCTTCCTCCAAACCACAGAAGACAGAAGGCACGGGAGGGTTTACTTACACAGCTCCATGCAGAGAGTCTAAAATGACGGGCATGCGTCACACTCTTCACATGAGAGGGGCCAGACGTTAAGAATGGCTGCACCTCGTTTTGAGTCTCTCTTTGATACAGGCATAGCACTAATAATTTATTCCTCTGGTAGGAGACTCGTTTGATCGATTTTATCAACTTCTGGGGCAGCTAGGTAGGCAGTGGATAGAGCACCGGCCCTAGAGTCAGGAGGACCTGAGTTCAAATCCGGCCTCAGACACATAACACTTACTAGCTGTGTGACCCTGGGCAAGTCACTTAACCCCAACTGCCTCAACAATAACAACAACAACAAAAAAACCAAAAACAAAAACCAATTTTATCAACTTCTTTTTTCAAAACAAACACATGCAAAATCCACAAGAATCTATGATTTGTAGATATCATGCTTCCTGATATGAAGCCACAAGAGTAAACTCAATTAGAGTTTAGGCAGTCAATAAGAAAACTACATTTGATTTCGTTGAGCACTTTCTGGTTACTTTTTTCTTAACCTGCAGCAAGTAATTTTCTGGTATTTCTATTAGAGACACAGAAGATGAGAGAGCTAAGAGCACCACTCACTTTAATGAATCCTAGAGAGGTAAACATGTTCAAACTCGAATCTGGAAGGACGACTCAGATATTACAAGGAACATGATACCATGGGAAAAAGGCTTCTATGATACTAAATGGAAGCAAATTTTACAGAAAACATACTTTAAAAAGAACAACAAACACACCAAGCATCTGAAAGCACTGCACAAGTAAATGCCAGTGACTTGTGACCTGATGACGGGCTGGGGGAGAAGCGCGGGCGCGCAGCGTACCTTTAAGAGAAGCTTACAGATCTCATATTTTCCTTTAGCGGCTGCTTCATGCAGAGGTGTGAACTTCCACAGGTCAGCGACATTGACAGACGCCCCGTGTCTCACTAAGAGCTCTGCCACCTCATAGTGGCCATAGGAGCAGGCATTGTGGAGGGGCACCAAGCCACTGATTGGGGGGAAAAAGGCATTTTCAAATTCACAGAACAAAAAGAAAGTGCCTAAAATACTATATACATACACATAAAATAAACATATACAGATGAGTCAGAAGGGATCTCAGTGACTGTTCCCCTCATTTTACAGATGGGGAAACAGAGGTCCAGGAAGGGGAAATGACCAAGGTCACAGTCTGAGGCAGGATTTGAATCCAGGTCCTCAGAGTGTGCAGCCAGGGCTCTTTCCACTGCATCGGGGCAGATTATTTGTTTTTCCTGATCCGCTCTACTCCAAATGAATCCAAAATACAGATTATTTATTATTACACTCACAGACTTCAAAGGTAAAACTTAAAAAATTCTCTTTGATCCTCCGAGTTTCCAAGGAAAGGTTATTATTAGTCTTGTTGAAAACAACGAACTCAACAATGGAACCTTGTGAGATCCATTGGCCAACCAGCGCGGCTGCTCTGAGACCAGCAACCCCTTTCCCCCTCTGCTCTGCAGGCTTCTCAGTGCTTCCTGGTACCACTTCTCCTGCAGAACCCAATTTCTACTGTGTGGTGCCGCACTCCCACTCACCAGCTGCCTCTTGACCTCGCAGTTTGGATAAGCCGCCACTTAATTCTTCAGACCCTGGCCCCTCTTGCCTGGGATCACCAGATAGACAGGGGGGCCTCTTTCAATGGGAAACGTGGGGTCACTGAGAGAGCTCTGAAATTTCCTGCAGAGAAGCCACTCTCCTCTTCTCTTGTGGGTCTGGAGCACCAAACGCTTGGACATCCTGTCTCAGAGACGCGCACTGACGGGTGAGCTCCCGAGGATGTCGGAGTACCCCAGACCTGCTTTTCCTGGTGGTTTTTCTCTGGCTCCTTCTCTCTCTGTCTCTCTCTCTTTCGGTAAGGCTAAATTCTTCTGAGTGGTTATGGACCTCATCTGGAAGGCTCTGCAACGTTCCAGGCTGGTTGCAATGGACACAGGGCCTTGTCATCCACAATCAGGTGCAGGTGGAAGATCTCACAATTTATAGGGACTCTGTTTCATTTCGAATCTCCTTTACAGCTTCAACAAAATGTAAATGCTGGCTCAGGAGGAAGTGACTCCATCCCTAGAGGACTTCAAGTGGAGGCCGAATGACCAGTCGGCCAGTTAATAATTCTTCTTCTTTTTTTTTTTTTTTGAGGCAATAGGAGTAAAGTGACTTGCCCAGGATCACACAGCTAAGTATCAAAAGCTGGATTTGAACTTCGGTCCTAACTCCAAGGCTGGAGTTCAATCCACTGTGCCACCTAGCTGCCCCACAGCCAGTCAATTCTTAAGCACACTGGGACTAGAATCTGGCCTCAGACATGCACTAGCTGTGTATGTTCCTCAGTTTTCTCATCCCATCCATAAAATGGGAAGGATAATAGCATCTACCCTCAAAGGCTGTTTTCAGGATCAACGGAGATGACATTTGTAAAACGCTTTGCACGCTGCCTGGCACAAAGGAAGCCCTGTATAAATGTTAGCTGCTATTATTATTATAATGCTCCAAGTACAGTGCCAACTATCCAGAGATACAAAGAAAGGCAAAAGTATGGTCCCTGCCCTCAAAAAGCTTGCATTCTGACATGAAAATAAATGTGTACATACAATCAATAAACATTTCATTACATGCCTACTATGTGCCAGGCACTATGCTAAGCTCTGGGGATACAAAAAGAGGCCAAAGACAGTGCCTGCCCTTAAGAAGCTCACAATCTGACGGGGGAGAGAACATGCAAACAAATACATACAAAGCAAGCTTTGGACAGGATAATTAGGAAATAACGAACGGAGGAGGAGGGGTTGGGGAAGGCTTCGTGCAGAAGGTGGGATTCCATCTGGGACCTAAAGGACTACTAAGGAGGTCAGTAGTCAGGGCAGAGGAGAGTATCCCAGGCATGAGACAATGCCCAGAGGCAATAGAGGGAGTGCCTCGTTGGGGGCTCCACGCATCCTCTCAGACCTCCCTGGCCACCTACCCTGAGGTCCCAACTAAAATCCCATTTTCTCCAACAAGAAATCCCTTTGTTATCTTCTGCCTCTTTTTGTAGTCCCAGCACTTGGCACGAAGCAGGTTAATAAATGTTTATTAATTGATTAATATAGGCAGCGAGCTGGCCTAGTGGGTAAAGCACTGGGCCTGGATCCAGTCAGAAAGACCCCAGGCAAGCCCCTTCACCTGTCGACCTCATTTTCCTCAACTTCTCTTTCTGTGTGTGTATGTGTCCCCCCCTTTCCCCCTTTCCTGCCATCACTAAAGCTGACCGTCAGGCTAAGAGTCTCACAACTAATTCTCTTAGCCTGTGTGGTGCAGTGAATGGAACTGAGACACATCCACAAGCAATCCAAACGCATGAAGTCAGAGGGCACAAAGAGCAGGGCGATCTCCTCTCTGTGTGCCGTGGGTTTCTTAACTGGTACACCAGCGTTGTTCTCTCCCAGCTCTAAGAATTTCAGGCCAATAGCTGTGGCCACATCCATCGCTGGAGAGGGTTCGCTGTGGTACCAACTCTGACTAGATGCTCTCAGGCGGCAGTGCAGAAAATGGGGAAGAGTTAAGCTCTGCAGATTTATACCAACCAAACTGTGCCAGTGTCTCTGGAAGGTGTCCAAACCGAGGGAGTAAATAGCTTTTCATTAAGAGACGCTCACAAGTGGTAATCCTGTTTCCAAGTTAAGATGACAAATGCGGCAGCTCCTATTCCACTTGCCAGCAAACAAAGGCCGCTTGCTCTCTGAGGCACAATGGTGCCCAGGGCATCATGCTGGCTAAGTGAAATAGGTTTGTTATACTTCAGACTGAGGCAAGCGTGGAAAAAACAAGAACCCCAAAACCGCATAAGCTCTCCTGCCCTCTCTCCTCCTCCTCTTCCTCTCAGCAGACAAATGGGGGATTGTGGGAGGAAATAGTGCATCAAGATCTTGTCAGAACAAATCACTTTATTCATTGGGTTTTGCTCATAAATTTCCTTGGCAGTGGAGGTGAAGGTAATATTGGGAAACTATTCTGACAAATAAGACCTTAATTACGGAGGAAAAGCATCAGCTTACCTCAGAGTTAAGTCATTTCAGTTAAGATTACCTCCCAAATGTTCAGAGCCAGGAAGGGACTTTTTTTTTCCCCTAACAGCTTATAGATTTACCTTATATGTGGTCAAATAGTTTATCATATTAATATTAGGCAAAAAATGGAGAAACTTACCTAGAAAATAGTCATATGATGTCAATATTACCCTTAAGTTGAGACTTAAGTCTTCAGGGGACAGAAATGCGCTCTCTGAACACTACTATTAAGAACATTACCGTTTCTCGTATAGCAGGGATAGATTTGTGATTTCACTGGCAAAGCAGCTCCCAGGTGAAGACCCTCTCTCCACCAATGCAGGTCTACACCTCAGGAGCCCTGATATGTCAGTGACTTGGCCAGAAAGTAGGTGCCAGAGGCAGAGCCTCTGCCCACGTCCTCCACCACGTCAGAGCACCTCAACACTACTCTAGTCTGACAGAATCCATATGCACACTTCATAACTTCCTTTCTGGCCTCTGGTGGATTAAGGATGGGAATACTAAACAGATGGAGAAAGATGCCAACCAGGGTTTAAAACCCCCAAGAAAGTCCCGCTCTCCAGCCCTGGGAGCCCATTCTGAAGCTGCATGTGACACCTACCCCTTGTCTTTGGCGTGAACGTCTGCTCCGTGATGAAGGAGGAACTCAACCACAGACACCCGGTTGTAGCCGGCAGCAAAGTGAAGGGGGGTCGAGTGGCGGCCTTCTAAATCTCGGCAGTTCACATTCTGAGGGCTACAAAGTTGCTTGAGGGAGAAGGGAGGGAAATGGAGCAGAGATGTGAAAAGAGTAGCATTTCAATGTCAGTCTTAGATTTACCTCTATAACACTACAGAGTTTTTGAATAGATGATCATATTTCCTAGCAAAGGCTTCTCCCCACAAAAAATGAGTTTAAAAACTGACCCCCTGAATCACAATCCCTAGAGAATCTCTCCTATGTCCCTGTCCTGACCTAACCCCTTCCGGGCCCACGCGCCCACCTCCCGCTCAGACACAGCCGCTCCCAATCACCCCAGCCGGAGGGGAGCCTTGGTCATCCTGACCTGGCTCTGACTCACCCCGGCCACCTAGGCAAGGTCTGGAAGGCTAGGCTGACCCAGCCCCGTCCATCCAATGGCGTACTTTGTCGTGTAGAATTCTGAGATGTTAAGACCTGTATTTTATAACTTGGGCAAAGGGCTGACGGAGCTGAGGCTTGAGAAAAGTTGAGTTCTATTTGGGCCCTACAACTGACCAGAAACGAATCAACCAAGACGACTTCCCCACCACCTCTGCGCATTTGGAGCTTTCTTAAAGTCTGGGGGGAGCTTTCCGTCCCTTCAGGGGTCTGGACTGGTTCTACACATGCCTTCCTTTCCTCTCCTGCACACGTCCTCCTGTTCTATTCTCCATTTCCTTTTCTTCTTCTGACCTTTGTCAAGTATAGGTCAAATGACTGTAATGAGGAACAACAACTAACGTCTATCTGGCACGCTACACTTTAAAATGCACACTGTTCAATACTATGTTCATGTAGCTACAACCAAACGGTCTAAAGAGCCCTTCCACATCGCAACCATCAAAACTAGCTGACGCTGGTTCAAAAGCAGAGAGGTCAATGAATGGAACAGACGAGATAAGGAATAGTCAGAAACAGATGAATCCAGTAACTTGGTGATCAGTGAACCCAAGGACACAAATTTCTTGTGGAAAGGACCGTGTCTGACAGGAATTGCTGGGAAAACTGGAAATAGACCTGGCAGAAGTCAGATGGAGACCAACCTATTATACCGTATGTCCTAATAAACTCAAAATGGATATGTGACCTGAATATTAAGATGCCCCATAAACAAAGCTGAGAAGAGTGCCTGAGCAGGTACCTTTCACCACGGTGGGTAGCAGGGGGCTTCTTAATCAAACAAGGGACACTGGCACTCACCAATGATAAAGTGTGTGAAATTGAGTAGCTTTTTTCCAGAACCAAATCAGTACAACCAGAATCAAAGTGGAAAACAGTGTTTGTATCCCATTTGTCTGACAGTTAAAGAATGCAGGCACCTATCGGTATACAAGTGGTCAAAAAGAGATGACAGAATAGGCTTCAAAAGAAGCGTTTCAAACTCTCTGAGATGGCTCCAAAGCATAAATAATGAGATGGAAATCAAAACGCCCCGAGGTTTTACTTCAGACTGAGAAAACTGGCAGAGCTGACAGAGGATGCCAACTGCTGATGCTGAGGGGCCTATGGAAAGGTAACCATGCTGCCACGCTGGCAGAGGAGCTAACGACCACCCCCACAACTCTGCGAAGCAACTGCAGTCTCCATACACTTGAACTCCAAGACCTGACTGCTGGCACACATGTCAGAGGCCAAAGACAGAAGGAACAGTTCCCAAATCTGGAGAGCAGCACTTTCTGTGGTGGTAGAGAAAGGGAAACCAAGCAGATGCCCGTCAGCTGGGAAAGGGGTATGCAAACAGCAGCCCGCAAATGGTGAAGCGCCATAAGAAATTCTAATTATGAATCATTTGTGGAAACAGGAGGAGACCTCTCAGCTAACTCGGGCCTGCCAAAGGATTTCAGGCGGCCTGAAGAAGTGTAGAAGAAATCCTATGAGTGAAGCAATAAGCCCCAGCAGCACCAAAAACATAAACACAAAGAACACAGGTAAGAAGAGGGAAGCTGAACGCCCAGTCACGCGTCACTTCTCCATGTGTCTGCTGGTTTTCACGAACCTTCCTTTTTCATTCTTTGTTACAAGCGACGGCTCCCCGGTAGAGGGAGGAGTCACGAGTACATGGGGAGACAAAGGTGTCCACACAAACCACACCCTCCAAACGGCTCCCCTCTGCCTTGCACAGGTGCACAAAGACCACGAGGAAGGGGCGGGGAGGGGAGGATCATCACTCGCGAGCCCCCTCATACCCTGCTTTAGACGAGCGGGAAAAGGGAGAGGACGAATGAAGGAAGAAAAGCCACAGGAGCACGATGAAACCCAGCTCCTCAGGTACACACAAGGGAAGAGAAAAGTAGACAGAAGCTCTCTGTAAGGCCTTCTACGTGCCAGGCCTCAGCTGACCATACGAGGACACACAAATGAAACACAGGGTAAGTGGCAGAAGGGCACCAGCCTCGGAAGAATCTGGGCTGATCATGGTCGCATCACGCAGGAAAGACGTGACACTTGGGCTGAGTGCGAAGCGGTGGAAAGAGGAGCGGAGTCTGTTAAAGACAAGGGACACACGCAGTACAGAGGCGTGGAGGCCGGGGGGCGATCCGAGCCATACCGTTTATTAGCCAAAGAGGCATAACGCAGGAGTCCTGGGAGAGATTTCCGATTCCAGTCCCCACGGGGGATGCCATCTTGGGACTCCACTCTGGATCTAGCTCCGTTCCCTTTCTATTCAACTACAGATCTAGTCCAACTTTGGTCTAGCGAGAAAACTCTATTGCACTGTTTGAACCCCGGCCTGTATTGCTGGGAAGCTGGACCACTTCTCCCTGCTGCTCAGAGACCCTTAACTAGGGACCCAGGTTAAGCTGAACAGAAACTCAACCAGACTCAGAGACTGAGGCTAGGGGTTTTCTCACAGTTGGATATCTCAAGCAACCCACAGGTCTTACCTGAAAACTGGTCCCACCCTGGTCAATGGGTTACTGCTTCCATGTTCCTTTGATTGAACACAGATATCTGGAAGGACTGAGACACCTCCTTTTCTGATTTCAGGGAACTGTACTTGCTCCCTCTCCCTCTCCCGACTTGGAAGGTTGCTAATCCTTCCTCCCATTAGAAGTCAGATCACCTAATCTCATATCCTGCTTTCTAGTCTGCTTATGGTCATCTTTTAACGCATAAAAATCCATCTCCCCCTGTATTCAGGGCCCAGCACCAAAGCTGAGGAGGCCTGGGCCCCACTGGTCACGCAGTTGGCATGCACTGCTTAATAAATCAATGTACTCAGACGTTCAGCCCATGTTTCCTCAGTCACTTCACGAGGCTGGAGAAGTACCTGTGATGGCTGAAGAACCAAAATGTCAACTTGGCAAGATCAGAGAGCGCACATGCAGCCAGCCAAGAAAGGCTCTGAATGCCAAATGCATCGGTCTGTATTTGATCCGGGAGGCGAGAGGGAGCCAACGGAATTCTTTGAGCAGGAGAGCTGCCAGTCAGATCTGAGCTTTAGGAAGATCGCTCTGACAGCTGTGAGGAGAGCCATTAGAACAAGGCTGCTGTAGCGGTCTGGGAGAGAGACGCTGAGGGCAGAAAAGAGGGCGGGGAGGAGAGATACTGGGGAAGGGAGAGGGGGAGGGTGACCTGAGTGACAGAAAGAACGGTGATGCCGTGGGTAAAAGTGAGCTCCCTTCTGACTCGTCTGCGTCGAGATGATTATGTGTGAAATGTCCAACAGGCGGCGGGTGAGGCAGGACTGGGAGTCTGGAGGTGCTGAGGGGAAGGGAAGAAGCATTTATGAAGCGCCTACTACGCACACCGTGCTAAGGAGTTTACAAAGAGGACCTCATCTGACCCTCACAACAAGGCCGGCAGGCAGGTGCTGTTGCTATTGCCAATTTACGGCTGAGGAGTACACCTGACATGCACAGAAGCAACCAGAAGAAGAGTGGACCAAGGGCGGAACGAGAAGGCGGGAGCCCCGCCTCCAGCTCGTCCCTGCCCAGGGACACTGGGCCCGACACGTAATTGAGGCCTGTTGCGGGGGTCAGAGGGAGACAAGATCCAGAGACCACTTTGCAAACCTTGATGATAATAATCACTGACGTTCTTCAAGGGCCTTAAGGTTTGCCATGATACACATGGAAGGGTGCAATGCTGAACTGAAAATCTTCAAAAAAAGAGCTCACGGTTAAGAACTGGCCAGGTAAATACCACATAAACTTTTGGGCTGCCTTAAGAATCCTGATGTGTAAAAGAACCAAGGAGTCAAATATTAAACAGTCAAGTCAATACATTTTCATTAAGCCCTAACTATGTGCCAGAGACTATGACAAGGGCTGGGAAAGAGTCTAGCTTTTCACTAAATGGACTGATGAAGGACTTGTGATTTCTAAAATACTAACTTCAGAGAATATACAGATGCATTTGTTACCACAACTCGGTCCATACTGTCTGTAAACAGGATTTAATTGTAGTTGAAAATGGTACATTTAGAAGATAAGAACTGGAAACTAGGAAAATAAAATTTACGGCAAGTTTCTCTGATAGAAACCTCATTTCTCAAATGTAGGAAATGGAACCAAATTCATGAAAAATAAGAGCCATTCCTCAGTTGATAAATGGTCAAGGGATAGGAACAGGTAGATTTCAGAAGAAGAAATCAAAGCTATCCATCCTTATATTTAAAAATGCTCTAAATCACTACTCATTAGAGAAATACGAATTAAAACAATTCTGAGGTACCACCTCACACCCACCAGACTGACTAACATGACAGAAAAGGAAAATGACAAACGTTGGAGGGGATGTGGAAAAAACCAGGACACAAATTCACTGTAGGTGGAGTTGTGAACTGGTCTAATCACTCTGAAGAACAATTTGGAACAATGTCCAAAAGGCTATAAAACTATGTATATCCGTTTAGCCAGCAAAACCAGAACTAGGTCTATATCCCAAACTAGGTCTGTATCAAAGAAAAGGGAAAAGGATCTATTTGTACAAAAATATTTATAGCAGCTCTTTTCTTTTTTTTGGCGGGGGGGGGGGGGGGGTGGG